GCCTAGCCTTGGAGGAAGAAGCTTCTGGGTCTTCGGAGACGGGCTCATCGGGGAAAGCCTTGCGAGCCTTCTCCCGTTCTTCCTTGATGATAGCAAGTCTCCTTTGCTTCATTGACATGGTTTCCCCCATCAAAAGGTGGAATACTGTCGGGTTTGCTTGATCCCGAATACCTCCGAGCTTTCACACCCCCCGCATCGTAATGAGCACCTCCATCTTTAGGAACAAGGGTGTCCTTGCTGGTCTTCAAATCGATGACTTTGACCATTTCTTCCGACGCGGGTCCCTTTTCGGGGGAAACTTTGATCAGCTTTCCGAGGTTTTCGGCGAGTTCCTGATCATCAATGACGTCATCCTGGCCTGGCATCTCTGCCAGCAAATCCTCTTCAAAGAGCGGCGCATCTAATGCAGCTGGATCAGGCGTTTCAGGAGCGTATTCAAGCCCTGGCATTACGCCATTCATGTGCAATAAGTGCCGTTCGACCATTGGAAAAGAGAATTCACCATCCGGACACTTGATCTGATTTACTCTCAGCGGAGCAATAGGTTGATCATAGTCCTTCTCCATCAAATCTCGCAAAGGAATAACAAGAAATTCGTTGACGCCAAAGAAAGTCAGGATGGATAGGATACCCCAGAAATATTCCAGCCCTGGAAGTAGGCTCAAACTTCAAAGGCTTGTTGGGTCGATTCCTCGGGCCAGTCCAAAAGTTGACTTGACAACCAAAAGGCAAATATGGTCCGGGAAAATCTTCTCCAAAACGTACCTTCCAAGGTGAGTGATAATCTGGGTGATCCGTGATGTTGTGCGCCATGCAATAGTGTTTGGCCGCATGTGGCCAATATGAATGGTGCAAACCAGCTTGTTCCAGGTTGGTCCTCGTGCCCTCGATAATTGCCCTGACGTTCCTCTCGGCAATGGCATTCGTTTTGGAAATGTAGTTTGTACTTTGAACATGCTTCCATTCCAATTGATCCGCAGCTTTCACAAGTTCAGGAGCCCGATCACTGCAAAATATGTTCACGGCTTCCCCGGTGCGGACAAAGTGTTTGAAAGCCATCACACATTGATGAGAGGTTTTCCGTGCTGCTGGGTAAACATAACGGAAATCAGTGGCAACATCTCGAACCACAAGTGCAACTCTAGATTGATCAATGCCGATTTCACGATCATCTGAGGTAATGAGATGGTCCGCCGTAAGGTGATCACCAAACTTCTTGGCCTCGACTTGAGTGGAGCCTCCCTTTTGTCTTGATGGATATTTGTACATCTTCGCCCTGTTACAAGTCTCGCAAAAGGGGTTCTTGGGAGTGTGACACATCAAGTGCTGGAGTGAGGTCGCCTCATCACGCAAAGCAGCTTCACCGCGTTCGCGAGGAGCATCCTTCAACATGGGCTTAGACACAAAATCGGAAGCGATGACCTTAGGCGCATCTTCAGAGGGAATGTCTTGGCACTTTTCAATGACCTCACCTTCCGGTTGGCTTATAGCATCTTCAAGCAAGAAATCGTCGTTCCCCAATTCGTACCCATCATCCTCATTGGTCACAAGCATCTCTTCCACAGCTTCTGGTTCTTCGTCAATGACTCGAACTTCGTCCTCAATTTCAATGGGAGCTGACGGCAAAGTTGCAACGATTGGAATGCTTTGTGACAAAGCTGGAACAGCATTTTGGGTCTCTGAAGGGATGAATGGTACATTGTCTTTGACCTCGAGCTTGATGCGTGAACCATCATATCCGTCTTTGAGGCATCTCATACCCACGGACAACACGGATGGAGTCTTGTCAAGAACATACGGCCGAACAACACTGTCGGTCTGTTTGATCTTGACATTGGCCTGCTCAGTACCGAAGATATTCCCATGGGCCGTGGAAAACTTCAGTGGTTGAGACGATTCGTAAATACTCCCCGTCTCCGCATCCGTTCTCGACAGCAAATCCTGAGCAGCGCCTGTGTCCGCGATCCACGGAATGTGAGAAGAATCCATTGGTAGATAAGCAACAGCAGCGTTCCCCTTTTTGGGGGAAGTTTCAGCCGAAATCAGAGTCGCATTGAAACTTACCTTCGTGCCAGTGAGCAAGTCCTTCACCATTGCTTCATGCATAGCACCGACAAGAGTTGCGCCTGAAACGGCTCTCTCATCGAACTTTGGAATGTAATCAACAGGAATATCCTGTGCAAACCTTCTCGACGAGGCAGTGTAGGGCCAAAGCTCGCCGTCAGTCTCATAGTTCGCAATAGATGGGTAGTCTGAGAATTGCACACACTTCTTGATACATGGCATACCCTGAAAACATCGTGACTCACACTAGGCAAGCAAGGATACGAGGCAACCGAGTCGAGGGTCGCGGCGCACACCATCGCCTGTAGTAGGCACACCGCGGCATTGCTGCCTTTTGACGATCGCGGAGACTTGAGAGACTGAGAACCCTTCGAATCTTTCGAATCCTGAGAAGAAGGCCTGCTACCCTTCTTCTTCTTTTTCTTGTCTCTCGGCGATGTCTTGGGGGTATCTCCACTAGTGTTCTTGTCAGCCTTTGGGGCTGGAGCTGCCTTGGAAGTTGCGGGGTGCTGCCATGGGCAGTCTTTCCCTCTCTCGCATCTGTTCGCTTTGAAGAACTTGCACACCTGGGGCTTTGAACCAGGGGGACTCTGCGAACGATACTTCGTTGGGGTCTGAGACCTTGATCCGCCCTTCTTGCGTTTCCCCTTACCTTTCGGTGCCTTCACATGTTCGAATCGGCAGTCTGAACCATAGGTGCATTGGCCAGCTTGAAATTTCACACATACACCCTTAGGAATTCCAGGAACAGCAGGGTTGTTCGATGGAGTCCGGCCACGTCCCGTCGTGTTGCTCGACATAGCATCCCGCATGTGAACAAGCCGCTTCCGCTCCAAATAATTCCTCGATGCATCAATCAAGAATTTATAAGAGTGCTTTTCCGTCCCTTCCTCAGCCCGCTCATATTCATTGAGGTCGTGCCTGAGAGGCCGAAACTTTCGAATCTGGCGGTGGAAGAGCGCCTCGAGGGTCTTCTCGTTCTGCTCATTGCCCATTCCAGCGATGACCGTGTCCCATCTCGTCATGAAGTTCTTGAGGTCCTCGTTGATGAGCTGGACAGAGAGCAAATCCTCGAAGTCGTGAATTGCACCATGTTTGCTGTTCGTGCTGAAGTGCTTATGAACCATCAAAAGAATCTGACGTCCCCTCGCGTATCGTTTCTCCTTTGCTTCTAATTCTTTGAAAATGTCGACTTGCCGCGCGAGGTCGCCCTCCAAGATGTTCGTCAACGCCGATGCCAGCTTTGCGTCAGCTTTGCCAAACATTCCTGAATCACGAAGGACTTCAACAGTTTGACCTGGGATCCAAGTTGCTTCAATCCACTCAAATGCCTTCTCGGGTTGATCGGAAGTAGCAACAACAGCATCCCTAACTTTGATCCTCCAATTACGGTACTGTTCGGGCTTCGGGAATCGGGGAATCTGAATTCTGTCACCCTCCTTTACACGAACGCGTTCCGTTGTCGGATCGCTCAAGTTACCTAAGTGCTTCAGTAGCTTTCGTCGAAACGATTCATCCGATGCAGTCGAAGTTGATGATGAAGATGACGAGGAAGATGACGGATCTCGTCGCCTGCGTCGGCTACGTTCCTTCTTCTTTTTTTTTCTTTTTCTTGTCCTTGTCATTTCCACCATCACCATCATCACCAGGCCAACCGTCTCCGGTAGCAGCATCGTCCACGGCCCCGGCGGGAACGGATCCGTCTTTGCCGTAGGGGTCGCTCCCGACCTTCGTCCAACTGTGCGAGGAAGCATTCGAAAGTCCGGGCGGAGATGCGGCCAAAGGAACTGTTGGGATGGCCAAGGGGGTAGCTGGTGCCTGCTGAACGGGAGGTGCAGGAGCCGGAGCAGGTTGAGCGGGCGGTTGCTGTTGATTCATCATCATCTGCTCGACCATAGCCCTCAGTTCCCTGATCTGTTTCTCCTGCTCGCTGATTGTACTCATGGCGTTTTGATACTTCATCTCGGCTTCTCTTTCTGATTTCATGGTGTTCACACGCTGCTCCGCATTCTTCTGAATCTCGCGTCTCATGGCCTCCGATTGGCTTTGAAGTCCGGCAATGATCTCACCATGCCTTGCCTCCGCCATCTGGGCGACCATGGGACCGGTGTCCTGATTCACGAACTGGTTGAACTGGGCGTTGTTCTGAGTAGCGTTGACCTGCTGATAGTTCGTCACCTCCTGGTTGATCGTCATCGAAGGATCGAGGTGAACGTTTGCAACATGTTGATTGAACTGAGTCATGGACTGTGGCATATGGTTTCCCCTTGCGAGATCGGTCTGGGGGTCATACATGACGATGTCACCATGCCGATGCCAATCTGATCCAGCAGGTGAAGGAGATCGAGCACCAGACCGCCCAGCCTCCCACGGTCGCTTCGAGATCGAAGCGATTCGGGGCCCTGACTGCTCAAAGCTTGTCCCTTCCTGATGAGCTCCCTGGCCACTTGGGAATTCGCGCGACTAGTCGGTTCGTATTGCGAGGCGTCTTCATCGCCTGCGGGCTCATCAGGTGTGGGACGCACCTCAGTAGGGGGTAGTCCAGGATCGCCATCCATGGCGTACAACTCTGTACAAAGAGCCGCTTACGGCTGATAACCTATAGAACGGGTTAAACAACCGGGAAGGGTCAACAATGAACCCTGCCTACAGCGCGCTTTTTACTTGAGCCACGCGCAGTCGTAATGGCGAGACTGCGCTAGTGAGACATTCATGCATTGGGGTTTTACATGGTTGATAAATACATCACGTTGCAAACTACACAAAGCAAAGCAAGCAAGCCAAGCAAAGCAAAGCAAAGCAAAGCAAGCAAAACAAACGCCCGGCAAACAAAGACGCAGATTCAACTTTAGCAAGAGTGCTGGCAATACATCGAAACAATCTGCGGATAGCACGACACAACCACATTTGCACCGCTCATGGCGCAACCAAGCAGCTGAAGTGCTGTGGGACCCTGGCTGCACGTCTTTTGGCGGGGCCACGGATACAGTGTACAGCTCTCAATGCGAGTTCGGTAGATAGCATTGAGCCTCCATGTGTTTTATGTATCTATTTATTTACTTATCTTTTTCTTTTTGGGGGGGGTGCCTTCAAAGGTCCACTTGCTCGGCCTGGATGGATAACGAAGGCGTGCTGGCTGTGGTCATCATTTGCGACACCTGTCTGCACATCCCCGGCAAATTGGCTAACATCGATACTTCCACATCTAAAGCACACCTCCCTTAGAAGCCGCATCCCAGAAACATGGGTGCTTTTTGATAAGGCTAAAGCCTCGAAACCCTCCTCAAGGTCCGTATCGGCAACGAGCCTGCCTGCCCTATCTTGATGTGTGCAGGCGAAGGCGACATCGACACCCTGCCAGCTCACTGGGAAATCTAGAGCTGACCACGGCCGAGCGGCCTTCGCGTGTAGGGCGTAAAGCTTCGGGGGGTCGTCATTGAGGGCTGCATGGCGCGAGGAGCGATGTGGTGAAGCCTGCCAAATCCTGATCTCTGCAATACTCTGCATGAATCCTGCGGCATCCTGTTGGTGCCGCGAAGTTCATGGGCTTTGCCGGCTTTGCCCTGTCCTTTGCGCTCAGCCCACGCTGCCTGTGAGCCAAGTTGCGCGTTTCACAAGGTGCTGCCAGATCTTGTGCAAAACGCGGATGCAACGACGAGGCTGCTCTGGAGCGAAGGCTCTTTTCTGCCAGAAGTCACAGCCCCACCCCCAACTCGCCTGTGCTGAGTTCAGCAGCACTTCTGGCCAATCTGCAGCAACTCGTTCAACGTCGCTTCGTCTGAGCGCGCGTCAAGATGCCCGCTCACTGCTTGCTTAAACCCAATGCAAGCGGCCTTGTCACACCCTCTAGCAGGGCAAAAAACCTAGCTGGCACTCCATGGCACTGGCCACCATCTTCTCATGGCTTGCTTGCATGTCCCCACCCCTAGCTGGCATAGTTGCTTGCATGCCTTAGGCCTTTGTTGCATGCCTGTCCATGGGCATTCATAGGGATATAAAACTTATGCATCCTGGCCCGTGCCGTGGTGTTGCTTGGCAAGCCACTGCCAAATCTATACCAAGCAGCCAGCAAACCTAGCTACAAGCTAAATAAAACATGGCGATCTGATCGATTCAAACTGGGCAGGCACAGCTCCTGCAATGTGGTGATCCCGTCCCCTCAGACCCCAAAAAACCCACGGGAACCCTTTGCAAACCCGGTCCAAACATTCCGGAAACCGCCAGGAAACCAAAGCAAACCCTGACAAACCCTCTAGGAAACCCTCGGGAAACTTGTCATTCCCGTGGTAGGAAGGACCACTTTACACCTGCTGGTGTTAAGTCAAGTCTCCTTCCTGGCATCCATGGTGCCTCCAAAGACGGGCTGGCGAACACATTCAATTAGATGGCACCAGGCGGAGAGGGGGGGTCCGAAAAAACCTAGACAATTCGGATTTGGGAAACCTAAAGATTGCTTAGCCCCGGAGAAGGGGGGGGAGCATTCCGGAAGACTACGGGAAAATGACGGGAGAAAAGGTGGCAAAGAAGCGCCAAAATGGCTGTTGTCAAAGAACGCAGCTGTTTCGACCCGTCCTTGCAACTCAGAAGGTGCCTGAAACGAAACTCTGACAAAACCGCGTGTCCCCGGATTTAGTGCGGGATACAGCAGTCGCAAGAAGGTGCGTGAAACGAAATCCCTCGCAACACTGCCCAAGCTTTCCCGTGTCCGGTCATTTACGTGGCTAGGATTCCATCTTTCCATGGCTCAGTTGTTCTGATGGCTAGGACCGGGGCCTCCATTGAATGGAAGCTGGCACTCCAGGCCCACCACAAGTTGTCCTTGCGGAGCTTCATTGCCAGTTGATCTGCGACATCTGCGACACATCCTGAGCTCAGGAAGCGGAGCCGCGCCAACGGCTGGCAGAACTCAAGGCCATGGCCATCTGCATCTCCGGGATTGGCGCTTGAAACACGTCGTGGATCTGGTACGTGAGCTCCTGACCCCAAGTGTCCGCCCTGCAAATCGCCCGTCCTCCAATTGAAGCTACGAGAAGGGGGTGCTCTTCCAACGATGTTTCAACGCTTGGCGGGAACCAGCAACTTCAGAAGTCTGCCAAAGGAGCATGCGTCTGGGTCACTTGTAACGGCAGAAGGTTGTGCAGGTGGCAAACCAGTCCAGGGACGGGAGATGAACCCTCAGCCACGCACCAAAAATGTGCTAGACGCCTCCGTGGAACCCCAACCGCACCACCCTTGATACAATCTTGCCCACAGCTCTTTAAGATGACAGGCTCAAGCAAAACCTCAAGGCAGCTTTCGTGGGATCCCGGTTCATCGGAGCTCCTCCATAGCTTCGTCCAGTGCAAATTTGCTGCTCTGGATCAAGCTCAGCTGCAAGTCTTGGACGTAGCTCTCATTCCTGCCGAGCCGAGGTGCAGGCAAACATGGATTGTTTCTCGGCCATAGTCCCAGCCCCTCACAGATCTCAAGAATCAGCGCCCTCCAAACAGTACTCCTGCCTATTGGACCCGCAAACTCCGCATGTCGGAGTCACACTCTGGGCAATTTTGGACAGTGCAGAACGGCATTTCCAGCCTGGAGTGCGCACGTCGCCGCCCTGGAGCAGTGGCAAACTCCAGGAAGGCCTGACTGGCTCTCGCCGATGCGAATCCACACCTTTCGCTTCGGTCTGCGACACTCTGCGGGCCGCTTTTCGGCCGCGACACGTGCTTGGCCTTCATTCGCCACCTTCTCAGCACGCGCTTTCTCCTCGCGCATTCGCCGCAACATTCTTGGCACCGCTTGGCTCAAATGGAAGAGGCCGAAGCCTTTTCAGTCAACGTGTCAGGACGAAGCCTTCAGTCGCGGCTCAGGTGTGACAGGACGAAGCCTCCACACAGCTCTGGCACGTATTTGGATTTATTGCCCCAACGTTAATAGGATTTGTGTCTACATATGCATACACCCACATCCACTGGTCACCAAGAAGGTACACACACCCTTTCCCCTGGGCAGTGTTTTGGGTGGAAATCGAACCCAGACCACCTGTCTGGGGCAAGGCTAGGCACTGTCAAAGGATGCATCCCACTCGAGCCCAGCTCATACTCGGCACACTGATTTGGACATCTTGCGACTGGTGTCTGGTTGGCCGCTTAGCCGAAGTGAAACATTCGCGAGCATTGCCTCTACAACAGCAAAGCAACGACACTTTGAATCACGGTGCTCAGTAGGGCCCAGGGTGTTGGGAAAGTGTCCAGGTAAAGGGAAGCACAAGGGACGGTTTATGGGGGTCATGCCCTCAAGCTATGCGATGCAAAAGAGGCAGCTCTCGCGCTCGTTCTGCGGAAACTGCCACAGCGGGCGCTGCATGCTGGCTCTCACGGTTGAGGCCGGAACGAAGCCATCAGCAATCTTGAGGAAAAAATGGTCTTCCAAATCAAGCCGAAACAGCGATGATTTGGAGACTGTCTCGTCCAACTCGTAACTTTCCCAAGCCACGCCCTACGCACAAGTTGCAGAAGGCTCACACAAGCGCAAGGATTTCTCTGCGCTGCAAAATGCTCAGGCTATCTGCTGCTCTTGGAGCTCTTTCTCCAGCACTCGGTTCACCTTGGGCGACCTGTCACTTTTCGAACTTCTCACCAGCTCCACGTTGTTGGAAAAGCATGCGCTCCTTGGGCGGTCGAGATCCCGGCACCCTCTCCCCCTGGCAATCCCGAGCGACTGCGCAGGCCGAGCGTCAAAGTTGAGATCTGCTTCTTCAATTTCCCCAGCTCTGTTTCCATGAAGGTGTGGAAGCGGCCCTGGTTCTTGATGAGCCATGCCTGCATCGCCACCGGGGTCCACATTTTCGCCCATTCCTTCCCCACATTTTCCCGGGGCTGAACCCTTGGACATGTTGCCGTGGCAAAGGCCCTGGCAAAAGAACGCCTGAACCTCACGTCGCAGTGTGATTTAGGGTGTCCCTTGACTGCCCACCCTGAACGGCGTCCACTCCTACGGCTCCTCAACACTTGAGTTGAAATGTTTCTGGGTGAATTATAGTATTTCACCAACCTGATATAAGGTGGTTGGGGGGGCTATTCCCCGCAAAAACCACCACTTGGGGTCGTGTAAAGCTGAAAGAATCAAGCAATTTGTAACTACGCTCACCTCTCCCCATGCGCTGGTGCGTGCTCAGCCTGATCATGCATGACCTGCCCCACGTCAATGGCTTTGGCTTGCCCGCGGAAGCGAAGACATCCTTTTAGGAACTCTTCTATCTCTACAGAACCTCCGCCGTCCTTAGTTTCTCACATCACAAAACACCGCAACATGAAATCCACTGGAGGCAGCTTCTCAGAGGCACATACCACGTGGCGAAACCGAAATCTACCCAGGTCGTCTCAACACACAAAATGTCCCAAAAAAGCACTACCTTGCGCCGAGCATCTCTGTCAAGGAGCTTGAAGAAGCCCCACGCATCCCACACATCCAAGCCCAAGGTCTCAAAATACTCCTTCACCTCGGAAGAGTTGATCTTCTCCTCAAACCTTGGCGTAAGGCTTCAAAGTCAGCTCAGGCACCTGCTTTGCCGGCATGCCCAAGCAGCGGGTGAATTGCGACATGACCACACTTAGAGTTGTCGAATAGACTCCACAGGCAAACTAAGTGCCCTGGCCCAAGCAAAAGAAACCAAACAAAGCAAAGGAGTTTCACTCGCAACATACACCGTACCCCTTACCGGCACGAAACCGGCAAGAAATAACAATCAATCTTCACAAGTATGAATTGTAAATAGTGCTTTGGGGCTAAAAAGAAAAAGGGGATCATAAGAGCTTTGCTTTTTACGACATAGCGCTAGTCCAACAAACCAACGCTTTGTCCCGCAAAATGCTTTTCAGGATGCAAAACAACGACAACATGACATGATACGAGAAGACAGCACGGAAATTGCGTCCACTACACCTAGTATTTGCCAACACCAGGTTGTTTCGTCGGTTTTCTTCGGCAGCAGGCGCAACTCGGCGTCAGTCACCCTGCAACAGCATCCCGTGCAAACAATAAATGCTTGGCCCTTGCTGAGATGGTGGAGCAGCAACTATTCAGTCAAACATGTTAACTGCTGCTTTAGCGGATGGAAATCAGACCTTGGACCATGAAGAGCCAAATAAAGCATGTTTCTTTCTTGAAGGTCATTCTGATACCGGATTTCAAGTCATTACATTCGTTAAAAGAAAAACTACCGGAATTCACACCAAACCAATTTTTGTTCACGTGCGGCATTCCACGCTTTAGCCTCGGGCTTGTTTCTCCTTTCACTGGAATGCTGCCAAACACGTCGAGTTTGTGCCCCGGAGCCCGGCGCACATTGCCATGTTGCTGTCTGAAGGTGATGACGCTATGCTCGTCGTTGCCCAGCTGCTGGAACAGCGCTCGAACTTTTGCCAAGTGTGCCTTTCGGAGCTGGGCAGCTGGGCGGTGGAAGGCGCAAACAAGCGAGACACGCGCTTTGCCCTCGACCCTGCGCCTCTCTGTTTGCAATCATGGACTGCACGGCAGTGGCATGATCGTTCTGAGCGCTCTCAATGGCACTCTGACCTCGGCGGAATTCGATTCTGAAGGCAAGAAAATGATACCATGCCAGGCTGCTTCCGAGCGGCAGAACACCGCCGTGAGGACGTTTAAAACTGCAAAATATGTAAATGACACCTGGGCCATGATGATGATCCCTGCAAAAAGTCGGCTTGGTTTCAAAAAAGACGCAAAGGCGAAAACTGAAAAACATAAGCTAAGTCTGGCAGTGACGCATAGAATAAGAATAGCCCCATCCAGACAAATGAGATAGCGCCCAATGGCGCCGATACGTTTTCCCAGCTGACACCGTCTGTGACGCTCATGAACCTTAGTGACTCTAACCTGCTGGCAACCTTGTGAAGAAAATGCCTTCCTTACCCAAAAAATGCAGCCGTCGCTTCTCTACACCCAAACCCGTCAAGTCCTTGTGGCCTGGTCTGCGGCTTGCAAGAGATGACCCTGGAGTCCAGCAACTGTCAGGAAAATTGCGCATGCTGTTCTTGGGGCTGCCTTAGCAATGCCTGCAGCTTGCAGACGAGCAGCAAGCTAAACATAGTCACGGACAAGGATCCGTAGTAGCGCTGCGCGTTTTGCAAATCTTCGTCCGACATTTGATTGCTGGACTCCTCGTCCATGTGACCATGCACCGCTTGAGTAAATATCAAAGCGAAGACATAAACAATAAGAGCCAGTAACACGAGAGCCCAGAACAGCGATTTCAGTGTGTGGATGATGGAGTGGATGAGCGTGCGCAAGGCAAGTACCTCAGAGTGGGCAGTTCCCAGTTCCCGTTGCTTCGTTTGCCCACCACAGTGTTTTGACTGAACACAAAGCCACCTAAATGAAGCAGCAACAGGACAGCAGCAAGCGCGCTGTCCAAGCCTGCTCGCGGTAGCAGTGAGGTTCAACCGCAGTGGGGATCTATTATGAAGTTCCTGGTGTCCCTTGTGGGGTGCTGCCAATGTGCCGCGCCTTGCTCAAAGCAAAGTCTTGGCTGAAGGCTCCAGGGGACCAGCACGGCATGCGAGGCCATTGGCTAGCTGTGCCTCCGAGCAAGCCCGCAGAGTGATCTTCCTTCCAAAAAGCATCGCGCGCCGACTTCGCGCACGCAACATCCCGCGTCCACCTTGGTTGTCGTTTCCTCTGGCTGCTGAAGATCGAGAGAAGTTCAGCCCATAACTGTCTGCAACCCCATGCGTGCGTTCTTGCCCACCTGCGCTTCCGCTGACAAGCTCTCTTGGCCACACGTTGCAGCTTCCAGGCCAACGGGGTTCACCGATGCCCTCTTCACGCCCAACATGAGCGGGTACGACCAAACGCCCCTCGGCTGAACCCAAGCCCAGCCGCCGAACAGCCCACGCGATCATCACGAGGCCCTCGCCAACCTCAGCACCAAGCTGCCCCACTCCAACGCTCAGGCCGCGCTGTTGGTCCACTTCGCAGCGCAGCTTGTTCACTTGCTACCTTTGGCAGCGCGCTGCAGCCAACATGCCTGATTGTCGGGATCCGTGTTGGTCTTGTTTATCGGCCATATCGTCCTTCCCGCCTGGTGCTCCTTGCGAGCGTCGAAATCCACCTCGTCGGCGGTTGCCCCTCTTTCCTTTTGATCGTCCGTTCTTTCTTCCTATCTTCATAGTTCGCCCTGACACCTTTGTGACTGCAAACGCATCATGGTCTTTTCCAACATGTGTCGTCCTCCATTGCCGCGAAGCCCTCATTTCCATCTTCATCTTCTACCTAGTTAGTATCATTCTTCCCTTCATAGTTTCTGTCCTTGGATTGACCTTCTCGTAACTGTGTCTTCAACATCTTGTGCCCATGGCTCTCACGCACCAATGCCATTTGGCTGACCCATCTTTCTGTGTTGGTCTGTGAGCCCACACTGGATGATGAAGAACTGGGCTAGCAGGTCGTCACCGCATGGAAATGTGTCCCAGCGTGGTTGCGTCATTCTCGTGACATACGACGTCTGCGCCGGTGGGATCCACTCGGGGCGGCATTCCAACTGCAGCGGCCCGCTGGGTCTTCGGAACAACATCTCGCGCTTTGAAGTGACGCGGGGGAACTCACTGTTGCGTCTTCGGTGGTTGGAGAAGTTAGAAACTGAGAAGCCGGTACAGGTACACGTTGGCGTTCTCCGAAGTGTATTCTTGAAAGATCTTTGAGCTGATCGTTTTCCAGCAGCTCGCGCTTGAGAAGCGCTTCTCCAGCCAACCTGCTCTTTGAGAAGCGGCCCATGCCTTGATGGATCTACTTGAGTGATGTTCAACCAATCAGAATAGGTTCTTCATATCGAAGCCAGCTGACTCGTCCACCAAACAACGGCGGCAACTTGGCGGTCATTGATCATATCAATAAGTCGACTGATTCTTTGGAATATCCCATAGGTCTGCTGGAAGCAGCATAGACTTCAGGAAATAACCCTCCATCTGACGACGTCTCCTTTCTTTGGAAAAACCTGCTCCTTTTACCACAATTGTGGATCGATACCAGGGGGCACTGGACCATGGGACAATCCCTGTGGTGCATGCAATTGGCCCTGAATCTATGTCACAATAGGAAAGAGTTCCGCCGGAGCATAAGGTCTCGAATACGGAGGTTCTGGCACGTGTCCTTGTTGTTTGCACTGTAAGGAACACTCGCAGGCCCAGGCCTTGAGCCATGGATTGTGGGAAGATCAACCTGTCCCCCCGAAAAATAAACATAAACATACAAGGCGGCAACTCCAAATCAAATCCAAACAAAAGTCAACTTGACCTCGGCGGGCCAAGCGCAAACTCCAACTCAGCACCGGAAGCAATCCCGTCTCAGTCTTACCAGGAAGGTCCTTCAATACTCGAGCAAATGGAAACTTGTCTCAGCAGGAGGCTCCAGCAACACTCAATCGGATCTCTGAGATCTCTGCACGAAGAAATGGATAGAAAAGCACATAGCCGGGCTGCATGCAAATAAAACACACACACAAACACTAAATTCGCTCGCAGCTTTCAGCCCAGCCAAACCAACAGCAACAGGAGGACTCAATGAACATGAGAATATGATTGATGGGTCCGGTTCCTCTCTGAAGGCAACCATCTATTTTGGCGGGTTCCGCTGATAGTGATGCACACCTTCCCAAAGCAGACAAGGCGCAAAGCGAAAAACCCGCATCAGCCGCACTGTCTTCACAATGCGGGTAATGCGCACTATCCGGAAAGCCTTGGGTCGCGGACAGCATTGACGGAACCCCGCCGGACAGCTTCTTTGTTCCGAGCCGCTTTGAGGCCGCTGACGCCGCCAAGGGATTCCATATTCTGGGGGCCATCAGAGAGAGCATACCAGGTATCTACGAAGACCTCCCAAATCGAGGTCATGACGATAAACAGGTCGAGCAGTCCCCACCTTGGCCACGGGCTCAACTCCAACTCATCCCCACGAGACCCAGCATGAATTGGCGCGGAATGCAGCTGCGAACAAGCCACATCCAATCCGCAGAGCAAAAGAATGCGCTGCCATGAGCGCTAAGCCTGAGAATAAGCTCCAAGGTGAAGAGAGCGGTGTAAGCATACTGCACCACCTGGATTGACAGCGGCCTGGGCTCCAAAGCAGAAGGGTTCATTTGCACATCGACGCCGATGAAGATTGAGTTGGTGATGACCACAACGGAGAAAGCGACATCAAAGTAAGGATGTTCCACCATCCTCTTGATGAACGGATCCCTTGGCGATTCGTCGCTGAGTGCCTCCGAGTTAAATCCTTCCTCCGCATTCATCGCAGTCCTCCGTTTGCTCAAGTCAAACTGGGTGAATGTGCCTTAGCTCCGCGGCAGGACCAGCTACAACTTGCAGAAATGCACCAATGAATGCAAAACATGACAGAAATCTGGGGGCAGGTTGCTGAAAAGGGTGGGCTTCTTTTCGTTCTTCCTCCGGCCGTATTCCAAAGATCCCGCACCGGACCCGGCCCCGGATGGCCCAGACGTGGCCACGGAGCCGACCTCGCTCCTCACCTCTGGCATCGGTGATGCAAACTGGGGCTTTTTGGTCAACGTCGTCAGCTCGAGAAGGAGCTGCTCCTGCTGGTCGAACCTCTGCATCATCTCCCGATGAAAGCTGGCAATCACCTCCTCCATGCCTGGCGTCCAAGGACTGCCCGAATTGCTGAACACAGCCCTACCTGGTTCGCAATCGTTGCGCCGCCACATGCTGCCGGGGTTGACCTGGAGGGCCCCTTTGGGTGGAATAGGCTCCTGGCACATGCCGCAAATCCGCTTTGCAGAGCTCGGCACTCGCAAGCGTCACTAAAAGACCAAAGAGTGCCTACTCCAACCACGCAAGCGCCTGCGAGGGCTCCAGCTCATGGCTTTCGATCGAGGAGTCCTGGTCTAGCCATTTGAAGACACCCCCAAAGTCCGTGGCTTCGTTTGGGCTTCCCTGTCAAACTCCACAAACAATCGGGAAAGGCTACCCTCAAGAAAGGCGAACACCTCGCGAAAGCGCAGCCGTCCCTCTCTCTGAGGCTGCGGCAACCGCATCCAGCCGAGGCGATGCCATCGGCGCTTCACCTAAACCCCTTTGATTCACTGAGCGCTGGCAGGTTCTCCTCTCGAAGTGGCGTCTGTTGTGCGTCTCGTGCAAATGGCCAAGGCAAGTGCGGGCGTCCAGCCCGAGGTCCCTATCCCAGCATTTGAGCAAAGCCAAACCAGGACCGGGGCGAGAGGTGGCCACGGACAAAGAGTGCCTTGCATTGCATGGATCACTGGCCTTTTGACAACTGAGACCGCCCCGCTTGAATGCAGAACCAAATCAAGCCGCACAATTCTCAGAGGCAACCTGCTTGAGAGGGGGCGGACTGAAATCTGGCTGCGTTTGCCAGGAGTGCGCTTCAAAAGATCATCCATGTTCGTGGTACCCCCCCCCCCCCACCGCATGTGAACCAGCAACGTCGAAATTGCTAATCTAAGACCCCCCCAAAACAAAAACAAACAAAGCGGAGTCGAAATGGCAAGACACCCACCCATGTTTCCACATGTTCTACTGGGGAAACGGGACAGTCAGGCCATCTTTGTACCGCCCGCGGGCTCTTGAACTTAAACCAAATTAAATGCCTGAACCGAGTTCTGCATGAGGGATCACTGGGCCTTCCAAAAACAAACGCCACCGCACTCGCAGCTCCAAACCCTGGCGAGCCTTGTGAGCCACACCTTGAGAGATGCCCATCGCATCGCAGGCTGTTCAATGACACATAGCACGCTTGGGCAGCTGACTTGGTCAGTCCCAAACAATGCCGTCCCTCCCGCACATGTGGCGGATATGTCGGATAAGGTCACTGGACTCTTGAGCCAGCCGAGGCCAACTGGAACCAAAAGCATGCATATGCAAGACAAGTGCACCAGCCCCGCTTCCCACCAGAAGCGCACTCCCACCTGCCCCGTCCGTGCGTTCTGCAGCACGGGCATGTGAAGCCTGCGCTGAACTCCACAAGCTGCAGCCAGCTTTTTGCGGCTAGGGGCTGCTTCCGACACCGCGCCTCCTCAGGTCAGTGCCTTCGAATGGTTTCAGAAGCTCCTGCCGGCTTCTCCAGTCTTCTGCTCGTTTTCTCGCGTCTTTCCCATGGAGAACTATCAACTTGCGCGAGTCAGAGGGACCCAGTCTGCCGGGCACCTGCCGGCGCTCCTGGCCTCTGCCTCGATCGCGGCGGTCACTTTGCACCTCACACGCGGATTCCAAGGAAGCAAGGCCAACCGGCCAACCCCCTCCCCCCGCCCCACCCCGGGGATTCAACCATATTTTGCCGGCAGGCTCAGGGTGCAATTGCTTGAAACACCAACATATGTCGATTCCACTGCGGCTGCATCTCCATGCCATTGGATGGCCTGACATGCCTTAGAGCCCAACTTCAGGAAGTATCCCTCCAGCGCTGGCGGGCCGCACACCTGGCGCAACTTGGGCGGCACAGCGATTCCGGCTTCGCGCCCCGTGTCTCATTGACTCATGCGTGCTGCAGGCTTTTGGCAGGTTGACGTCCGGTTAAGTGACCTCCCTCCCTGCCTCCACCAGCTTTGCTGAGTACAATTTCGTGGTCGCCTTATGCATCCTGGGCCGGCCGGGTCAAAGGGGGCAAGGCTGATGGCGGCGGTACTTGGGAGCGTGACGATGGTGCCTATTGCCGGCATGTCCACCTAATATTTAGGACAACCCCCCCCCCCCCGAAACTTCCAGGTATCCCACGAAGATTCCTCACATGGCTGGTGGTCAGCACCTTCGTTCAATACTCTGCTCATGTTTCTGATTTGCTTGGCCAAGCCGAATTGTGCAATTACCGGTTCAGTTCTAAATACGTTCTGGAAGTTGGTGTGCAAAAACTGGCAGCGGGGTCCCAAACGTGAGGTCAACATTACAACCACCGGGTTCTTCACTCCGTGTTTCTGATGAAGTTCTCGTTTGAAGCCACCTCACGGCTGCTTCGCTGGAGATCTGCCAGACATTCTCAATTCTGTAGGCTTTTGCCTCCATTCCCTCTGGAGAGTCAAGCTCCAGATAAACCTGCTGGGAAAGGCCAAACCCCAGTTTGCCCGATTCTGAGGGAGGGGGTAGCATCAGCATGCATCAATTATTAGTCAGACATACTTTTTTTGGACATGTCCAAGGATGTTTGACTCTGGCGTTCGATACTTGCTAAAATGGAAGTCTCTCAGAAGATCCGTGGGCCCTTGCAAATTGCATCAGTCCTGCTTGCCTTCAGGGCGCTGCGTTTGCAGCATGCGCAGTGATAGGGTACAAAAGCAATCGAGTTGCGCCCCGGCAGCAGTGCGAGGGATAGAGCACTGAAACACCAGGTCTGGTTTGTCTTAGGGCCGGCAACAGGACAAACAAAAGCCGAGCTGAGCCAGCCGCGCGCTGAGGATGCGTCGCCTCCCTGGCAAGGCAGGCAAAGCAGGAGCCCCATGTCCAACCACTTTGCACCCTTCCCCCCCGCCCGTCCCTTATTGAGGTGCCTCCAGCAACACAAACTATGGAATGAGATGAACCTATCTCCACAGGACACATGGAATTGTGCAACATTGAACTTTCCAATGCTCAGGCAGGCTTGCTCCTGCACGAAGAAGAGCTGTTTGCTTTCTGATTGGGGCTGGGGCTTGAAGGTCGGATTGGCCCTCGGATATGCTTTGTTGGAGCGACCCCGGAATATCTCACTTGCAATCAAGAAGCAACATGCTACTCAACGCAACACAACACAACACGACAACACAACACGACACGACACAACGCAACACGACACAACGCAACACGACACAACGCACACACACACACACACCAGGTAAGAACATAGACACACGCACGCGCACACACACACACACAAAGCACAAACTTGAAAGCAAAGTCTGGTTGGGTCAATGGCTGTACCACATTGAAGCATCTCCAAGCGCCATCCATTAGGACTGGAATCCTTGGGAATCCTATGCTTGGGTGTGCCGCAATGCCCCAATTTGTTCAGAAGGGTCTGCAATCCATTTGAGCCACCCCTTGTGAGTCACTTCTATCGGCCTGCCGCGCTGCAGCGGCCAGCCAGGTTGTGCTTGAGGTCAAAGGGGTCCTCGATGTACCTAAGATTCTTGATAAAGTTTGCGGCACGTGCCGTACATCAAGCACAGAATGAATTCCTGCGAGTTACTCATGTACCTAAGACTATTGGATAAGTTTACAGTGCGCCAAACACAGAATGGATTCACCCTCTAGCTGCGCATTACTCGAGGACCTGGAAAACGGCTCAGGTCAAAACTGGAAGGCGGCAAGAACTGAGTGTGGCGTCCAGTACGTTACAAGCGGCCATTGTTCCGGATCCGCCGTCTTGCAGAGCTGGGATTTCTCGACCACCGCGCCAGGCGAATTCAGTCCTAAGGGACCAACTCGTCCCTTAGGGGAGCCACACAATGGTGGCTTCCCAGTTGATTTCCAGTTGAACCACCGCAACGGGGTTCTAGTACCCTCCAACCAAAAAAACACACACACACACACACACACACCCATGGCCTCGGTCTTTCCCCCGTGATTCATCTGAATGGACCAATGGCGCCAGCTATGACATCCAAAGCCGGCGCAAGCGCCCCGTTTGGCGTTTCAGCATGCGTCTCATGTGCATTTCTCCATCATCTCCATCATTTCTCCATCATCTCCATCATCTTAAAGATTCCCTGATCACTGAAACATTGGTCAAAGGAGCGGATGCACACGGCATGCTTGGACCAGTTGAACTCTCGACCTTAGCCCATCGCCGAGTTCGTCTTGCCGAGTGAGGGAACCATGGCAAGTCAACAAGCAACCATTGACTCTTTCACCAGAAAGATAGGAAGCTTTCCAAACCAGCTACACACAACAAACAAGTAGATCACGCGCTGCTCAGAAGCACGCAAAACACATGTGGCAACACTGTGCACGTTTTGGGCTGCACAGGTACTCTGAATGGCAAAAAAATATCGTGACCACAGATGCCTTCTTCGTATCAATGCATCAAGTGTGTCATGCAGAAGCGACGCTTACCAACTTCAAATCACACATTGCCTTCAACTCATTCGGCTGCAAATACTCTCCATGATGCATGCTCAAAAGCAGAGATTTCCAACATGTAGCCTAGTCCCTAGTAACAACGACAATTTCCCAAAAAGTTGCAGCCTCAACGGGGCGAACCAGCCAAAGCCACGGCAGATCGCCTTTCTCTCCTTTCACCTTCGATCGCCCGCTCTGCGCCAAGGGTCCCCGCGAAAGTCTCGTGTTCTGCGCTTTGTTTGGCCCACGGACCCACGTGAGCGAGTGGCAACCCTGACTTGCCTCGTTGCGTCTGGAGCTAAAAGCAATATCCTTGTTCCATCCTTTCAAGCCTTTATCCCAGCTCCGGCTCGAAGGTTGCAACCTTTCTGTACGCACATGGTACACTTCCAATTTTTTGGCAGCTCCGGCTCGAAAGTCGCAAGTACACCCAGCCGTCGTCCAGCCGGATTCTCCAGGCGCGCGCGCCCCTTTCTCCCGCAACACCTCTGCTGCCGAAGAAGCCGAAGAAGTGCAGGAAGCCGAAAAGCAACTCCGCAATACCTCACAGCCAGTGCAAAATCTGCGGGAACCCAAGCCTGTGAGAAGAAGTCAGCCACAACTCCTGCCTTTAGAAGTCTCCAAGTCTCCCATGGAAAGGATCAAATGGCCAAATCTTGAAAAAAGAAACGAGCAACACGCAGTGAGCTGCAGACAGATCAATCAAGCGACAAATCGACACCAAGAGTCAGCTTGCGCCGGGGTGCTCATCCTGTTGTCCGACGGTTGCAGCTCCACGACCTCCGGTCTCTCTTTGGGCACCGGATGGCACCGGTAAAACCGAACAGGCAACCAAAGGAAGGTGGATTCTGCTTCCTGGTGGGAGGGCTGCGAAACGCATGGCATGCGCATTCCACGTATAATATACATTTATGCAATTTATGCATACATACATATTATATATGTGTGTGTGTGCTTGTGTTCAAGTCTGCGTTCTGCGCATGAGTTGCAACACGTGAAACCTGCGCTGGCACTGCGCAGGTTTTAAATGCCCTGCGCCTCCTTGAAAAACTTGGTCTCCCAAACATTGGGCACCTCAGCTCTCATGAAACACCCGAAGCCCGAACTGGCTGAAACCGAGTACATCTCTCACAGGAAGCTCCTGAACGGATACATCATACATCCTTTAGACAAACCCCCGCAACTGCTTCACAAGAGGATCTCCAAAGCAGCAGGTTGAAGAAAAGAAAGTGGGCCCAAACGCATCCTCTGGACGCCTCGAGGACTCACGAGAGGAAGTCGAAAATCGGACTTTCGGCCCAGCGGCGTTGCCCCACTTCCAGTCCTTCACTTGATGGGACTCGGAGGGCCTCAGCTCGCCGCTGGCTTTTCGGCGGACCCATGCGGCGACTGGTACTGCGGATGTTTGATTCATCAACCTCAGCTTCATAGGGGGGTGTCCGCTTCTGGGTGACATGTGGGGAATCAGAGCGCTTTTGGACACCCCCCCATATCGATTTAGGCGCCAGGCAAAGCCTGAAGATTGGGAATGACTTGCGGGTGAAGATGCCTGGGCTCTGAGCAGCACGTTCAGGATAGGGCATGTGGCGGCGTAAACGCACGCAGCCGGAAAAAAAAAAAAAAGGCCGGGATGCTGGAGGAAATGGATCGTCATCAGCATGTACCTTGGTCACGCAAACTTCAAAGGCGCCTTTGCTGATTGGCAACCCACTAGCCATCTTAAGTCCAAGCGCCAACGCACTGCCCAAGTCCAAGAACTGTTGCCTGTCTTGGATGTTTAAGTGGACCGTGTCTACAGAAGGCAACCGGTGACCCCAGCTGCACAATAAATAAGCAAAAACAAACACGCACTCACGCACACAGGTACATAGGCATCTGAGGTACGCGTAGCTGTTTAGGCAGCCATCAGGACTTCCTACCAGCTCGTGGCGCTTTGCCCAATCCTTCCTGAGCTCCAAGCGCCGTTCGGGAGCAACTTTGGCACCCTCACCCCACCCACCCAAAATCGTCATTAACTCCAAGGCGCACTAGCTTGCCCAACCTTGGCTCAATGAAAAGCTTGCAGGTGTCTCCAACTGTCAACACTCTTCTGGAGCCTTGCCAGTGGGAATGCTAGACCATGACTTGTCCGAATACTGCAGTGAACTCACGAGATGCTCTATGGCAGGCTTTGAAAAAATCGCGCGGCACAGGCTGACAAGGTGCGAAAGGACACAGCACAATGCCACGGAGCCGTATGGCAGCGTGATGGCAGCGTGAACATTGCAGAATGCGATGTGAGGTGGCGTGAACATCCTCTCCGTTTCATTGAATGGGCTGTTGTTTAGGCGTGTTGTCGGTTTACAGAGTATGTGTTTGCCGTGCTTTCACGCTCGAAAGCAGCAACTGTCCAGTGCAACTTTAGTTTGTGAAATGCAGTCTAGCCTCTCGGAATAACAGCCTTCATTGGCCTTCATCGCGTTTGATGTTCAAAGCTCATGCTCGTCGGACGGTCAAGCCAGATTTGTGATATTGCAGCTTTAATATGTGCTGAGGCGGGGCTGCGACTGGCCACGCCACGCCGCGAGCCACGCAAGAACGAAGCCACGCCACGCGCGTTTTGCATTAGCTGTGCTTCTGCACCTGGCTGCGACCATGCGAGCGGCGTGCTGCGCTCGCAGACGCAGAGCGGTTCGCGCTTCATGTGGCGCCTCGCCGTGGTCTGGGCTCTCTGTTTTAGCTCTTCACCAGCCCTGCATGAAAAAAAGAACGGACCTTCACCGCTCCAACCTGCTTCGTTCTTATGCGGTTGCCGGGTACTGCTGCTGGCCCCACCTCCTCTCTGGGAGGCAAGAAAAAACTATGCGCCTAGTGACGTGCAACAGCGATGAAGTTGAGGTGCGATGAGGTGCAAATGGGACGACACGCACGTGCGAAAGTCAATTCCCCGATGTTTGCAAAATCAAAGCAGTTTCGTAGAAAATGTCACCGTGCTGCGGAGAAAGGCCATAGTTTCGCCATGCTGCGCCAAGGCACACTGACACGCGAGGATCGCACTGGCAATAGGTGTCCAGCAGCAAAGAATTTCGGATGCCCAATTCCTTGTCTGTGGCAATCTACGCGGTCTCTGGCACGGTTGGCCCAGTGCTTGGACCACACTCCCCACAAGCAACGTTTCCCTCGCTGGCAAGAATCTTGCAACCAGGCATGACATGTGCAGCAAAACATTGGCCAAGGCACGTTCCGGATGAGGAAGTCAACCTCAAGCTAGGCTATTTGAGCCTTTGTTTGGGCTCAATGCTTCTGCCGAAACCGTCCCCCAAAGCAGTACATGTTGGCGAAAAACCACCAAAAAGGGGATGTGTCACTTTCGGAGTCAGCCCACCAAGCCAACATGTTAATAAGCACGGAGAGTTTCGGCCGGGATGTTTATTTCTGGCGCATGGGACAAAATCTTGTGAACGCCGGATCCGGCAAAGCAACCAACCCTATCACTCGTCTCAGAACGAACAGAACACAGCATGTAAACTCTCACGCAAACCCTCAAGAAAGTCAGTGATATCTCAGTACGGCTGCACCCAAGCATAACAAACCCTCAGCTGAAGCTGCACAAGTTGAGCACCTGGCGTCCCTTGCAAATTTCTGAATGCCTACTATTTAGCGCTGAGCTTCTTCCAAACTCAGCTTTTTCTAAAACCAATCATTTCGCAAATGTCCGCAACGACATCTAGGACACTGGTTCTGCAGGGCATCCCCAGCAATTCTGTGGAGAGAATTGTTGACACGTGTCCCATGTCAAAAAAATTAGTGGGTGCTCGGGCCCACCGGGCCACCCCTCGTGGTGCACCACTGGGCCTTCCCTCTGGGCCTTTCAGCGCCCCAGTCGCCCCACTCCCATGGCCCATGGCCTCTAGGCCGCTGTCGGGATCGAAGAACTTGATGAGCGGGATGCTCGACCTGCGGACTGCAGCGGCATGGATTCGAAAAGCACGGCGCATCGGCCGAGGGGCGAAAATACCTTCGTGATATCCTGGAAGCCGGCGGCCTTGGCGAAGGCTGCGCAGGCCACAAAAATAAATGCGAAGGCCGGGAGTGCGCAGTTCAACTCCAGTTACCAACAGTTGGTACTGGTTACTCTGGGAGCAGTTGGCCGGTAGCCCCAAACGAAACCTTGAAACGTTGCCGACGAGCTTCCGACAGGTGGCGAACGACGCCCGCCAGTGCGCTGACTTGGGCAGCTTGTCCTTTGGTCAGCCAGCGCAGCGGACACCCAAAGACCACGATATATAATGGCTGGTAAGTTGACGTTTTCGTTTGGGCGGAATAGCTGCGTCAACATGCCCCGGCCCTAAAGTTTCTGGGAACTAGGGGCGCCTACCACGGTATTGGGGCATAGAAGGGCATATCCCAGAATACCTGCTCCAAGGGCACATAGTTGAACTGACCCGACTCAACAGGGAAAGAAACACGGCAAACCAGAACCCGGGACCTGTATTAAGCCCAGTCTGGTAAGCGAGCGCAAACCCTGCTTTTATGATGGGCATGGATATTTGAGCCAAACGGGCATTGCCGTCCGACATGTCTGTGAATGTGCGATCAACGGGGCCTCTCACATCACATGCATGCACACCCTTCTGGGGTACCTCTTTGAGAGTCAAGGGGTCGTGATTATTCAACTCCCCCCTCCCCGTGCTCACTAAGAGATTTGTACTTTACAGTCGCGCTTGAGCTGCGACCCATGTGATGCAAGGTCCTTTACCAGACCAATGGGAGGGCTTACCTAAGATTTCTGCACTTTTCTCACTGCTCAGGCCGGACATCCTTCAACTTTTCGGGCAAATTTGTTCTGATGCCCAAAAGCTTGAGAGCGTGGTCCCACTTCAAGGGTTGTAGTGCTTTTGTGAAGATGTCGTCTGGCTGAAGATCGGTTGCTACGTACTTGATCACTACACCTGTGCCAGGTTCAAGTTGCTCTGCAAGTGCGGACAAGTTCACTTTATGAGTGCGCTGTATGTGCCGCATTTTTGGGGAGTAACCTTTCTTGGCAACGAGGATAGCGGCTTGGTTATCTTGGTGTAGCACCAGCTCAACCGGGCGTCCAAGCAAACGTTCCCACAAAGTCAAGGAGGGGAGACCCTCTTGATACAAAGAGAACGTGAGTGAAACAACCTCGGCTTCGGTGGTGGACCTCGACACTGATGTCTGTCGCTTGCTCAACCACGCTAACGGGAAATGGGTGTTCGGTCCTTTGAGGACCAAGAAGCCACCGGATGTGGACTTCGCATCCCTTTCTCCAGCATAGTCGGCATCCGCACACAGAAGATCTTGCGGGTTATCCTTTATATTTATGACTCCTACCAACCGGTAGTGCGTAGTCGAGTGGATGTACGCGATAAGACGGGCGAATTGCCTATCGTGGTTGCGAGACCACTTCTGCACGGCGGTGGCTAAGTCGCCTATGGGCTTGATGATATCAGGACGTGCTAGACGTCCCAGCCATAAGGCCTTCATGAGGAGTTTGCCCGCGTTTGGGGCTAGCTCTCCAGCTGACTGTTTTTTTGAGGAGGAAGTGATCCGTCTGGGCAGAATGGAGTAGTTACCTTCCGGAGCTTTTCGGGTTGAGTGCCGGTGTGTAGAACAAAACAGTTCTACAGTTTGACGGGCATAGTCGTTCATGTCAAAGGCAACGGCACCCTTTAATGCGCTTACAGCTGCATTCAGATCATGCTCTTGAGGCTCTGCGGGGCCATCTATGAAGACATGATTACGCCCAAGCACCCGAAAGATCGGCTCGGGAGGCTCTACATTTATCATTTTCGTAAGCTTTTCCCAAAAGGCTCCGCGTGCATCTGCGGGATCTGAGAGGGTCAAGTCATCGACGTAAGTCGAGAGCATAAGGCCCACCCCTGTAAAGAAAAAGTTTGCAGGAAACTCTGGGATTTCTTCCCCTCCCAGCTGCTTGAGCAGTTTCTTAAGGTGTGCCTCCCACAGACCTGCTGCGTCGGGGCGTCCATGTAGGGCACGGATCAACAAGACCACGGGTTTCACAAACTTGGAACCCCGCTCCTTTGGCCGCAGCTCAGGCGATCCACGTCTGGAAGTGCGAGCTAAGGAATGCCTGGGCGTAGGCCTTTACCGCGTCAGCGGTGGTGACCGTGTGTCCTGGGACCCATACGCCAGGCAGGCGTTTAAGCCTTGTACCGAGGTGGGGTTGGCCCCCAGTTCCTGGTACACAGCGGGTGCACCGGCTTCATCTTTTGCACAATCTCCCGTGAACACGATGCGCCCCTTTACCTTTTGGAGGTGCTTTGCAAGCTCATAGAACTTGATGCTGGCGATCGTCATGAGCTGACCAAAGTGCACCTTGATCCCAGACTGTCGCGCTGGAGCTGCGACCTCAGCCTTCTCCCGGACAGTTGAACTATCCCATACTCCGACGTCTTGAAGTCCGGTCGCTGATTGCTTCCAATGCTTCAGGAGACGCAAGTATCTCAGCACGGGACAGGAGTTCAGTGACCATTGACCATTGCATGCGCTTCTGTCTCGACAGCCTTGGCGGGCATGCCGACAGCAGTAGCAAGTAGACCTTGGACGTCAAGGAGTTCCTTAACAATCTCTTTTGTTTTAGAGTCTGATTCAACGAGGAGGGTGAAGTCATCTGCTCCGGAAAGAGGAGATTCGCGTCTTAGGGATTGCTCCTTTACACGATGCTCCGCTTGCTGAGTGACTAGAACAACAGGCATTGCTTGAACCGGAGTCCTACAAACTTTGGGATACAACCACACGTCTGTTCAGGGTAGAATGCAGTGCGGGAGGTTCGGCTCCCTGCCGCTGGAGTGTATTTTTCGGACTTTGAGTGTGGACACTGGCGATCAGCGAATGCTTCGGCAAGAGCCTTTGATGTAGTTTTGATGCGCCAAGGCTTCTTGATGGGTGAACCATTTTCATCCGTCAAACCAACAGCACAGCCATGAAACGAAACACCATGGAACACATCCTTGTGGCGTTCGAAAAACTCGGCTACATCTGGCCTCTGCCAACCTTCGCAGTCACGCGGCCACTCGAAAGTGACACTGATCCACCAGCCTTCAAAACATGCTCTGCGTGCATTGCAAATTTTGAAAACATCAACTTGGATTGCTTGACTTTTTCCCCTAACTTCTTCTTGAACGGCTTTCCTAACCTATGGAGGCTCAGCCTCTGCCAAGGTGATCCTGAGACACATGGAATGGCCGCACACTGCGAGAGTTGATACGCGAGCTGCTCATCCGCAACGGCTGACTCTAAGTCAATGTACTCCTTTGCTAATCGGACATGTGGGATGTTAAGATCCTTGAACACATTACCCATTGAGGAACTAGGTGAACAAGCAAATTCAAACATCGGGCCAGCAGCATCACGCGCTAGGCGCTTGTTGCCAACGGTAAACGGAGGGCGTCATCGCCCCCCCCAAACTGGCAAGGGTTACCGAAAACGGATGGCTTCTCTTTCGTGGTCTCAGCTAGTGTTGTGCTGGACGCAGTTGACACGGTGACGGCTGCTCCTGAGCTGACAGGGATGTTACACTGAGCCCACCTGCTGCGCTTAAAGCTGCAGCCGAATGCTCGGAATCACTATATAACCTAAAAATGCTAATGCCAGTCCAGAATACAGGGAGTTCTCGATGTGCTGAGAATCTGCCTGCCCAACCATCACTGAAATCTTCCTTGCTACCATCTTGCTGGGACACCACGCGAGTGGTCCTACCGGGTGTGATTCTGCACACTGACACGGGACAATCACCGACATCCTTGGGAGTGAAGAGTTTCGTCCTAGGCTGATGATGCACGCGGATTATCCTTTTTGGTTGATGCGGGGACAGCGTCGGCATGCGGAACACTGGGCTGAGAAGAGGCGGGCTCTCCAAGCAAGGCACGAACGATATCGGGGTCTCCCGCGTATAGCAGCTGCCTCCACCCTTACTTGGTTTGGCGGCCTCCTCACTTGCGGCCTTTTTGGCCTTTGCTTCTTCCTTTTCACTTTCAACTAGCTCTGCGAACCTTTTGCGGCATTCGTCAGTGTGATGCCTAGAACTAGCATGGCCGGCGCAGGCCTTGCATCCAGGAGTCTCCTTGAACTTTATAATCCGTTCAATGGTGATGTACACACTTCTTGACTTAAAGCCTGACGGAGTTGACGGGGCAGGAATGCCTTCAGGAATGAAAGGAACATCCCTGATTGCATACTCAGGAACCTCGCCATCGCGTGTTCGCAGGGCTCGATTGGCAGGGGTCGGGAAAACAGGATCGCCTTCCTCGACGAACAACTCAGGTTCGGGCACATCATGGACAGTAACATTTCCATTGGTCCTGAAACTTTGGTAGTCCATAGCTTTTAGCACACTTCGATATCGCATCCCTGGATCGATAAGCCAACCCATAAACAAGCCTGGAGCCATGTTAGGTTCTAAGGTTCTCTTTCCAGCTGACTTTAGGCGACACCAAACGAGTAAAGACGTCGAGAGGCATGCAAAGGGATAGGAATGCGTGTGCAGGGAGTAGGGCAAGCCTGATTGATGATGCTGCTGCAACACTCTTTCTCCTCTCGGACATCTCGCTCGAGCTCGGAGTTGTGTGGCCAGCGATTCGGCAACGACGTTTCGGGAATCATCCCTACTTCCTCGGCCGCTCCCTGCAACTCTCCAGCGGGTGTGGAGCGAGTTCGTTGGCTCTGAGGCCAATGAAATGCCTGAGATTCCTTGCGTGCGACGGAATGTCTCTCTACCGGGTATGCGACCCTGGCGCCGGAAAACACATCCCTGATGACATGGTGGGATTCTACTCCGCCTATGCCGCTGCCAATATGTTCATCGCCTTTCGCCAAGATCACGCTGAGTAGCGAGCTGCTGGTAGGGAGCGGTGGGTGCGTCGAGAAGATCCTCACTCCGCCCCCCTGGTTTCCGGGCAACACACATTGAGGTGTTCTTAGCGATGTTGCAAATCTTGCAGAAGGGATTCTTGGGGAAGTGAGTCCGTTGGTGTTCCGGTGAACTGGCTGCGGCCCGTCACCACCTTCTGCAAAATCGACAAGTCTGCGTCCGTCATCAGGATGTTCGGTCACTGCTGGTGCGGGTGCAGGAGGTGCTCCAGCAGGTGGTGGCACTGGCGGCGGATCCGGGAGCTCGGCCGGAGGCCTTTCCTCCGGAGCTGGCATGGCTGGCTTGTCGTTGCGCATGAAGCTAGCAACCTGAATCTCTTGGACCATATCATCAATGAGCGCATTGAGCTGCTCCTTTTCTTCTTCTGGCACTTGGGGAGGTGATGGATAATCCTGGCATGGATCAATGATGAAGGACTCATCATCGGACAAGGACACCGCATCATCCTCGACTTTCACGGGAGAATCAACGACATTGATTGGCCGAAGATTTGCGGCTTGATCAACGATCTGTGGTTTGACTACCTCATCGTACTGTGGTACGTACTCAACAACCCTGGAGGCGTTGATGCTAGAACGGCGCTTGCACTTACCAATATCAGAAGGAGGCACAAGATAAGGAACATGCTCTCTGCGGTCCCAGATGAAGAGGTAACCTCGATCGATGACGGTTGTGCCAATTGATTGAGCGGGCGGACATTCGTTCAAAACGTAAACCTGCTCATCAGGTGGGATCACACGCGAGTCCTCAAACGCAAGAGATTTATCTCCTTGTTGCGCTCCTCCGCCTGTGGCAAAGCCTAGCGGTGTGTTGGTCTTGCGTACGCAATGCATCATGGTGCTGTTCAAAGACTGCTTACCGATGAGGTGGCGACCTGCAGCGGTGTCCCATAGCCAGCTGATGCTATTGTTCCTGGCGGGGACACTTGGGACTGCTGGGCCTACGGCGGCAACAGCGGCCGGAGACTTCGCCTTGCTGAGGGCCCGTGGAGGCGGCCCAGTGTACTTCTCAGTCGGTGAGTGGAGGAAGGCGCAGGACTTAGCCCTACACGCGTCATAGGCGTAGAACATACACGGAACTTTTGCCTTTTCAACGGCTGACATCTTTGCTGTCTTGGGCACAGCCTTCGACCTCGGCGTGAGAGTAGAAGGGGTAGTGTCTCCCTTGGGGACTTCGGAGGAGGAGGAGGCTTAGGGTTAAAAGGACTTTTACCTTTAGGCGCAGGAGCAGCTGGGGTGCCGCCTTTGTCCTGCCCTTGATCCCCTTTCTTTTCACCTTTCTTGTTCTTCTCCTTCTTGGTCTCTGCTGGCAAAGCGCTGGTAGGTGCTTCCTTGCCCGTGCCACGAACAGCCGGTTTGAGCTTAACATCTTGATCAAACTCATCACGGTTGCGCTTTTGTTGGGCAAGCTCAATGGCCAGGTCTGCCTTCGCCCAAAGCCATGCGCAGGAACGGCGGTGACTATCATGGGCGGACTCACGGGCCTTCTCAACGCGATGCTTCATTATGGGACACTTTTCAAACTCGTCAATGAGATGATTGAAAAGAGCTTTTCTTGGGGAGCTCATCAAGAGGTATCGCACGGAGAATATAGTTGTACTTCTCCCGATGTCTGCTACTGACTGGCCGGCAAGAATCAACCCTAGAAGATTGCGTTCTCCAAGGATGCCGATCCGGCCGCGCTCCAGTTGAAAGTGCTTGAAGATCGATCGCAACATCACGCGCCCATTGGGCATTGTACCTGCGGTGTTCCGTTCGTGCTCCACCATGTTTTGGAACAACAACCCAAACTTGCCTTTGCGACAGGTCTTCAACAGCTTGGCGGCTATCTCACGGGTTGTGCGTGGGAAACGTTTATCTGCCCTGAGTTGTTCCTCGGATGAGGTCAGGCAATCCTGAGCCCACAAATAGAGCTCGTCATCGGTCGTCTTTTGCAAACGTCCAAAGGCCATGAGGACCTGATTCACATATCCACGCGCCTGACCGGCGTTCTCTGGCGGAAGCGGAAGGAAATCCTTAGGGCCCTTGACGCGAACCACGGTTTCCACGCAAACCACGGTTTCCTCATATGAGGCCGGATCTGATGCGCTTGTAGCAGCATCCCCACCACTTGCATCTGCTGCTTGAGTACCTTGTCCCTGCCCCCCACTCATGGAAAGGGAGGGGCAGGCGGTATCATCATGCGGGCCACCACAGACTCGGCATGAAGGGGTATGACCCTCGTCACCGGCTTCTGAGGATGTGTCGGAGCTTGCCTCCGAAGGTGCGAGTGGGGAGGATGGGAATTGAGCCACAATTGTACTTGCACTTGTTAGCCTAAGCGTGGGAACAGCAGTTAGCAGTTGTGCGCTGTGCAGCTACGGAAGGTGGGGGTGCCTAGCCGATGCGATCGGGGGCGAAGCCCCTGATACCCCTACCTGGGCCACAACTAACATTGAGAGTTGATGGACCAGCTCAGTTAAAGAGGACATTTGTGCCTGTACGTCTACAGGTCCCCTTGCATCCTGAGTCCGAGCGACATTCGGTGGTCTTTGTGGTTGCGCACGATCCTGGATTTTCACACGCTTGGCATCTGACTTGATGTCGGGCTGTGGGGGTGCAAAGGACTTTGGGAAACCAACAGGGGCACGTGGTGCTACCTTAGGGTCACTACTTGAACTTCCCGATGCGCCTAGAGCTGCATCCTTCGGGGGATCACGTGTGGCATCACTAGGCCCTTGAACTTGGGGAGCCTGTGCTGGAGATCACGTCCAACGTCATTTAGCCCCGGTGACCGGGATCCGTAGGATTTTGACTTTCATGACTTTCATCCGGAGGTACCGGAACATATTTGTGCCATGGATGCGACAGCCCTTTCTAGGTCAGCAAGGCGTTGCGACAACACAAGGTTTTTCTCCCTAATGTATCTATCACTTTACTTTGCTGGAGGATCTTCTGTTCCCGTGAGGAAATTTCTTGAATAGCCTCTTGCCTCAGCCTGGACACTTCGGCTGCTGCGGCCGACCTTGCTTGTTGCGCTTCATGCCTAGCACGTTCAACATGGCCTACGGCTTCCTGTCTTAACAGATGGACATGGCCTTCAGCTTCCTGCCTCACCTGTTGAACATGGCCTTGGGCTTCCTGTCGTGAATGCTGCGCAGCTTGTTCCGCTAGTATTCGTGGAGCTCGTCCAGCGCTTCGTAGAGCGCCCGATTGGCGTCTCGTCGCCCGACACCGATGCGGCGCGACACTCTTTGAGGACACCGTTGTTGCCGTCCACGATCACACACGCTCCCAGCTGCGCTAAAGCTGCAGCCTTGCCGGATTGCCCAACTCGTTTCCAAGTCAGGACAACGTCTCCAAACGGCCGAGCGCCTAAGCTGTCAATGGCGTTGTTGCACACGTTGGAAAAATGGCCGGCAAAACGGAGTGTGTTCTCCCGAGTGTCTCGGGACTGGCAGTAGCTGACGATGCGGAACTCGATGGGGTAGTGGCTGCGGTAGATCTTGGGAAATACCTTGAGTGTTGCGCCAATCTAGGCAAACCACGATGGGTTGCCTTGCCTCTTGCTGAGGCGCACCGAACTGCGCCCCGTCGCCGGAGGCAGAGCCTGTTGCTGCTGCAGTTGGTGGCTGCTTGACCGGCAATTGTGGTGCCGGGGCAGCTTTGAACCTTAGCTGTGGCGGTGTTGAGGGTGGGGCCCGCTTGTAGCTGGACTTAGGCGGCGTCTCAGGCCGTTTTACCCCGCTGATCGATCTTGGGACCGACGCTGCGCGTTGAGCTGCAGTTGCCCTAGGCACTGGTGGTGCTCTCAACCGCGGAGGGGGAATGTGTCGCGTCCGCAGGTCGTTTGACGATTGCCTGCTCGGCGAAGGCCGCAAGACCTGAGTACACAGCGCGCGCTGTCCTTTCTGGAGGTGGTGATGCGCTCAAGTCGTAATGGCCCTTCCCTGAACACGTTGGAGAGGATTGGACGACGATTCCGCTCTCGGCGGACGGTGCCAGTAGGAATCCGGCAGGTCGTGCGGGTCGTCCGAGGGCGGTGGATGCGGCGCCCGACGAGTTGGTCTCGGGGCGCCCTCGTGCCTCGTACCGATGCTGCAGGATCCAGATCCCTGTGCTGACAACCCTGGTTGTGGGGTAGGCACAGTTGGCCGCTGGAGGCGTAGGGGAGTGGAAGCTCTGGTCCTTGACCTCGCTTTGCTTCTAGCTGCAGCCCTGAGTGGAGTTCTGGATCTTGGGCGCCTTGATGACGCCTTCGGCGCAAGGGAAGGCTGATGCCTTGCCGCTGGCGTCCTCCTCCACGACGGGCTCCCTACAGCTTTGTACCTCCTCCCACCCGATGTTGCCGGTGGGTAGGAGGAGGGCCGACGGGACGGGCTCTCAGTTGAGGCTCTGGATGGAGCCGCTGCGCTTGAAGCTGCAGCCTTGATGGTGGACACAGTTGTGGTGGAGGATGGACTTACAGGTCCGGGTACGCGTCCCTGAGGTGCCTGTAGCTACCGTCAGTGAAGTCGGCGTGCCACGCCAAGATCGAGCTCCGGTGCAAATCCGAAGCGTCCTCCCAGGCGACACGCTCGACTCCAACGGCGAACTGCTGCCTTGCCCAGCGAGTGAGGGAGGCGAAGGCCTCGTAGTAGAGCTTCCTTCGATGGGTCCACCCACCACGCTGCCCTCTGGCCGAAAAGGCCGGAGCCGGGTTCATGCACGAGGTGCACTAACTTACCGGACCGAGGGGGCCTAATCCCAAAAAGCAGTTACGGCTGATAACCACTCAACAGGGAAAGAAACCCCAGTCCGGTAAGCGAGCGCAAACCCTGCTTTTATAATGGGCATGGATGCTTGAGCCAAACGGGCATTGCCGTCCGACATGTCTGTGAATGTGCGATCAACGGGGCCTCTAACATCACATGCATGCACACCCTTCTGGGGTACCTCTTTCGCCTCTTTGGGAGTCAAGGGGTCGTGATTATTCAACTACCCGAGCATAGCCATGTCCAATACCTCGCAGTTGCCAAAACTGCCGAGCCACCACCATCCCCAACCTCTCCAGTGTACCTAGGAGCTGGCTGGCGATGCGCGAGGCGCGAGGTCAGCTTGCCAGTCAGGCCGAGCTGCGCCAGATCCACGTCGGAGGTGCTGCCCTTGAATCCGGTGGCATAGGAGCCGAAGGGGGCCACAGCCTGCCGACCGGGCCAAACCTTCCCAGCACCCAAGAAAATTCCTCAAACCATGCAACGCCTGCCCCTTTTTTCCCTGCAAAACCGGGCGGGGGGAGACATGCTCCAATAGATTTCAATAGACATGCACATTTCTTGCGCAAAGACACTCTGAACTCACAGAGCTGCAGGCAAGTCACGCCACTCAGCCCTGACTTCTTCACAGCCGCCTGCCAATGGGCTGGACATTCGCGTTGTTTCATGTTCTTCCATGCTGCGTCTGCGTGGTTCGGCCTGCATCTCCATGTCTAATGTTGTCACGATTCCACGCACTTGCGGATGCATAAGAACACCAGGAGCCATTAAAAAGCAATAAACACTTTGCAAACAGCCAAGGCTTGCCGCCTCCACGCGCCGAAGGATATCATACACCTCGCAAACCAATGCCAGGAATAATGTCTGTTGGAATTTTAGCTCACATTTTACGTGCCTCCGCACGCGTTGCAAGAATTGCCCAACCTGCCCTCAAGGTACGCATATATTCACTAGCTACGCCGTACTTTGGTTGAAATGTCTGTGGCTTGCACCCAGTACTCTATCTGCAGTCTAATTAGCAATTGCGGCAAGCTACTTCCAAGATCCCAAGATCCCAAGAAGAAAAGAAGGTCTAGATCTACTGCCAGCCCACATTTGCAAGCACAGGATGCAAAATGAGAGCTCTCAAATAAGAATTGCAACGCGAAAACACACACACACACACAAATGTGCGAAATGATAGCTTCTCCAAAAATCCCAAGAAGTCTGCGGATCCAGACCTGAACATCTTTCTCAACGCTCCCAATGTCACTTTAAAATGGGAGCTTCAAGGGCGAAATACAACATGTTCAGGAGTTGTGGGTCAAGTTTGGGAATCAACATATTTGAATGGCAGCCTTCTATGTGCTATGAGCCCCATTCCATGCGAAAATGTCTGCCAATGTCTACGTGCCACTTGGTTTTCTCCATGCCTCCGTATTGTCGAAACACACAATGTTGAGAGATGTAAGCCCCCTTGCTGCAAGCAAGGTTCCACAAGTTTTTGCTCTTCAGCACTCCGCTCGCCAGAGTGAGTGCGCCAAATGAACCTGGGGCTGGGCGGCTTCGAGCGTAAAAAAGGCGCTGCGCCATCTAGCTGTGTGGTCACTTCAGAAAACCAGGCATTCAAGCCAACCCCTCAACGTTGCCAGGCGGCTCATTGAGCATGTCAATGCTCCTCGGTTTTGCAGTGGCATAAAATCAACATGTGGGCGTGGCATGAGACCGCTTGTGGCTGTGATTTTGCCAAATTGCCGCTGGTGGAGGGCAGGCTTCTCTCCACCCCTTCCAGACTGGTAAGCCTGGTGTGGGATAGGCGGGACACACACACACACATATACACACACATGCATTACATTGCATTACATTAAATTACATTAAACTACCACTACCACTAGCACTAGCACTACCACTATGCACACAATACATACATACATACACTACATTACATTACATAACATAACATAACATTACATTATATTATATAACATAACATAACATACCACTACATAACATAACATTACATAGCATTACATAACATACCATTACATTACATTACATAACAGAACATTACATTACATTACATTACGTAACATAACATTACATAACATAACATTACATAACATAACATACCATAACATTACATTACATAACATACCATAACATTACATTACATTACATTACAATACATTACATTACATTACCTTACCATTACATTACATTACATAACATTACAATACATTACATAACATTACATAACATAACAATACAATACATTACATGACATTACCTTACCATTACATAACACAACATAACACTACATTACATTACATCACATAACATTACATTACGTTACATAACATTACATTACATTACATAACATAACATTACATACCATTACAATACATTACATTACCTTACCATAACCTAACATAACATAACATTACCTTACATTACATTACATGACATAACATAACATAACATATCATTACATTACATAACATAACATAAACATACATTACATTACATCACATAACATAACATAACATTACATAACATTACCTTACATTACATTACATTATATAACATAACATAACATTACGTAACATACCATGACATGACATTACATTACATAACACTACATACCATTGCATAACATTACATAACATACAATAACATAATATTACATTACATTACATTACATAACATAACATAACATTACATAGCATAACGCTACATTACATAACATAACATTACATAACATAACATTACAATACATTACATTACCTTACCATTACATAACACAACATAACACTACATTACATTACATCACATAACATAACATTACATTACATTGCATAACATGACAGTACACTACATTGCATCACATAACATAACATTACATAGCAGTACATAACATATCATGACATTACGTTACATTACATAACATTACATAACATAACACAACATAACATAACATCACATTACATTACATAACATTCCATAACATAACATAACATCACATAACATAACATTACATCACATTACATTACATTACATAACATAACATTACCTTACATTACCTTACATTACATAACATAACATTACATAACATATCATTACATAACATAACATAACATTACATACATTACATACGTACATACATACACGCCAACACTGCCCCTGGAAGAACCGGCCGAAACCGCTCACTCCCGCGCCTGCCGCACCTTGGGACCTGGGGAATCGACCTCCTTCCAGGGCCATTGAGCCACGGCCACACATCCCGCCCCAAGTGAACCATGGATATACTGGATATGGTATATGTAATTTTGACCACACCTCATAAAGCTGATGCACCTGCAAGTGCCATGCACAGGCTCCTGCTGGAGGACTTCTGGTCTTCGGCTCTCCTGCCCAGTTCTCAAAGTATTTTGGCCATCCCGCGGTTCCTAAATGAACCATGGAAAACCATCCAACTACAACAGAAAAGGGCCACAGCCTCGGCACCGGCAAAGCAAAGACTTGCCATGACTCAAAAAAACCGTCAGTGGTGCACCCTGTTTTCCGCCTGGAGCGGCTGGCGTGGCTGCGTCTCCCTCGAGCTCTCGCCCTGGCGAGGGCTTCATGCCGAGCGAAAACCTCCGAGCCGCGCCGTGCGGCCACGCGCAGCCCAGCAGAAGATACGTTTGATTGAACACGCTTAAGCTAGAGAGATGTGGCTGTGGGTCAAAACCCTGCCCCTGGTGAAATCAAAATAGGTGACAAATGGATGTTTATCCACCCCAAAATAGAGCCATAGGTTATGACCCATGGCCATGTAGTTCTGTTTCACCACAAGTGGTGCGCCATCGTGGGCCCCCCATCCGCACCTTGGCCCATGGGTCATGAACCGCCAAGGGGTCGCTCACCTTGCCCGCTGACCATGGGTCGTGAACCGCCAAAGGGTCGCTCTCGGGCTGGCCTTGGCTATGGCCGGAAGCATTGATTCTTTTCCCTCTAAGACTTTGGCAAGTAGTTAAAACTGCGTTTCTTTTTGCTTCACTGCTGTGCCTCTTTGCGCGGGCGCGAGCATGCGCGTGCTGCTTGCGGCCAGAGGGGCTGCCAGACTTCCCGCCCCATGGGTCTGCAGACGTCCACGGGTCTTCCCGGGAGTCCCGCGGGGCTTGGTACTTGTACATGTCAGGCCGGGCATCGCTTTTTCTCCCGGCACCGCCTTGGCCATGAGAGGTAGCGCAGAGTGCAGGGGAAGAAACACTGGTCCTTGCAAGCTGCCTGGTTGACTCCATGGATCCGAAGACGCCCACGGGTCCTGGGACGTCTTGGACGTCCTGGCATCACCTGGGCTCATGGGGTCTACCCCGTCCCCAATGGCTGCCGCGTTTGTTGGGTGTCAGCTCTGGCGGCATGTTCCTGCTCCAACGTGGGCTCCATTCTGCCTGGTTGAGCATACTTGCACTGGCGCCATTGCTTGAAGTTGCTTGGGGTGGGGTTCTGGCTCGTTTTGGGTTCTGTCAAGGTGGGTCTTCGGCCGGGTTTGGTGCAGGGTCCTTTGGAATGAATGATGGCGGATTTTGTGATTTTGGCGTCGGGCTTGCCAAGGTTCGGCTGGCGGCCGTTGTGGCTGTGGCCGCGCTGCCGGGCCCCAAGCCCCCACCACACCCAAAGCGACACGACATCGCACCAAAACCCACTCTGCCTCAGCCAAACATCACCTCCACCACAATCACTCATTTCGCAACAGTTCAGCGCTCGGCCCGGGCGAAGTGCACAACAAACAACAAATTCCCTGCCCACTGTTGGCCGAACTGCAGAAATCAAAAGAAAGCAGCGCAAAAGCGCTGCAAGCGGCTTCCAACAAGAAGGTGCCGTTGATCACTCTCACACACACACACACAGCACGCATGCAACTGGGCCGGCCATGCAAAACGACTAGCGTCTGACCCGAATCCCTGAATATGATATGTGTGTGTGTGTGAAACTATACACGCCTGCTGTGTGTGTGAAACTATACACACCTGCACTGGAGAAATGACAAAAGCGAATTGCTTTTGAGTCAGGCGTGCCTGCCCTAGTCACAGGTGATTGAGCCACACATCGTAAGTGAGCCACACCGCTTCAACATGATCCTTGTGCCAGGTTGAAAAGCGACTGTGACAGCAAAACTCGCGCAAAGCGGCAAGCAGCAAGCAGCAAGCAGCACGAGCAAGGCCACTGCATTTTGATTTTGGGTTGTGCGCTGGGCTCGTGTCGGACAAGGAGCCGTTGGATCTGCCTCCCCACGGGTCGGACGAAGCCCACGGGTCGTTGGATGCCCGGAAGGCTTGGGACTTGGCCTCATGCCGCACCTCTATTCTTCCTCGGTTTCACGCCGGCTCCCAAGCTTCAAGCGAGGTCCAAAGACAAGGAAGCAAGCTGCAGCAGGGCATGCGTGAAGTCGGACTTCTTGCCTTCCCTGTCAGGGCGCCAAAAGGGCCAAGGCATGCCCTGGAAATGAGAAGGCAAACTATGATGGTCGACCCCAGCTGCAGCCAACGCAGAGTCACCTGGAGAGCAACAGCTCTCAACAAGGTGAACTTGCAGCCGAGAATCCAGGAGGAAGGGCTGAGATTGCCGAAGCCAACAGCGACGAGTTGTTGAACGACAGGTTGTTCGGGCTTGGCCGCTTCTTGGCTCCAGCATTGCCTTACATGCCAACATGAAAAGCATGGATTATTTGGACAAGTCACGACGGGTTGCCGATACGAAGGACGAAATGATGGGCATTCCTTTTTGTAACACGAGTGCAAAATCTAAAGCTTGAGAAACAGTCGCTTCCTCCCCGTTCAACTCCTTGTCTGGGCTTGACATGCTGACTGCTATATTGCACTTTCACAGGGTTTCATTGGACTGGAGCGGACTGGAATTTCACTGGAGTCGGTGCTTGCATGCACTATGCGAGTGATTGACTTGGTGTGAAGCGCATGGCGAATGAGATGGCCCGTTACGTCTCGACCGTCAAGCCATGCCGCCCGTGCTTCGGCTTGAACCAACCGGTCCAGCACTCCAGGGGTCGTTGGTGAACAAGGGGTCCTACACACAGCGCCGACATGATCAAGATACAAGTGAATAACCATTGAATAACCTACGTCAAGCAATGCCTACGCCACCCCAAAGGTCCTCCTGCAATGGATCCTGCGGCACGCCGGCACAAGACAATCTGTGGTTCCCACACAAAACCAGCAGGCATCTGGGGCTCCAACCGATTCTGGCACGCTTATCACGCTTGGGGCCTGGATGCCATGCCCTGCTCCATGCCACGCATGCAACAAGCAACAGCTCCCCTGCCGTACAAACCAAACCAATGACGAACATTCTAACTGCAACATCCCCACTCAGCCGCCTTGGATGTGGACCTGTTAGAAAAAGTGTCCTGGCATGTGGCCACATCAACGGTCAAATTTTCTGGGTGCTCCAGGCTGTCGCAACTGACATGCAACAGCCAGCCTCCCGCGTGGCATCTTTCTTCTTTGACCTGCTGCTCAACCAAATGATCAAACCCGGTGAATCTCGTTACCTGCAAAATCGGTAACCAGCTTGGTTGCCTGCTCGGTGGTTCCAGGCGGAACCTTGAAATTGAGGGCCGAAACCGGCAAATAGCGGGGCTTCAGCACCGGAAACGTGAAAGCCGTCAGATTGGACTTTTTGGAACCTAGCGTGGCTCTTGGAAGCGTGGAAATTAAGGGCCAGTTGTCTGCTACACAAGTTACCACTAAGCCAACAAGTCCGGACGTCCAAGCCTTGACTTTGCGGCCCTAAGATTTGCTGACGGCTCGTCAAAGACTGTCTCGAAGTCCTCGAAGATGCCTCGCGGCCGCTTCGAGAGCTTTTATACGTAGATGGGTATGGCTCAAGATGAAAAAGCCAGGGTTGCTTTTGGCTTCTCGCCACCAGGTTGAAATTTGGGGCACCACCTTCTCATTGTTGGAGCCACCGCGCGTCTCAAGCATCGGTTGCCAGGCGCCTCCATTGGAAGCTATGGGCGCCGCGCTGGCCGCCGGTGCCCCCAAGCCTGGCGGGCCTGGGGAAGAGAAGGATAGGCCCAGTGAGAAAAATGAACGGAGCGCAGCGGGATTCTTGGCTGGCCCTCCCTGAAGAACGCAGGCTAGCAAATAGCCACTGATTGAAGACAAATATTTCAAACAAACAAAAAGAAGAGGGAGGCACCCTCCTCTTGCCGCCGTCCAGCTCTTTCTGGTTTTCTGATCATCCTTTCGGATTGCAGCCCTACATGTATGCAAACGTGAGCCTGCGTTCGGTCACACATCTTCATCTGGCAAAGCACGTGGCAACGCATTGGCTGTGTTTCAGAGCAGGCGCTAATGCGGGTGGTGGTGCTTCCGCGCCACGCGCTTGCTCTGCCTCACCACTCTCTTACATTTTATCCCTGCGTTGACTCAAACGAGAGAATCCTCAGGAAAGTTTCGTTGGGAAGCCTTCTGAAAGGCTGGAGCCTCCAAGCCCCAATGCTGCGTCTGCGCAGCGGAAGCGGCTAGGACGCAGATATGGGTAACTTTATTTGAAGTTGCTCTGACAGGACTTTCCTGGGATGCGCTGAGGCTCACAAGAAGGAAACAAGGAAACGAGGAAACCCTAAAAAGCTGCAGCCACAACAAACTAGCAAGCTTCACTCTCAGACTTGCTCACCAAGCGTAATGTGGCCCCTTCGCGCTCCGTGCATGAAACAGCGATGACCTTGCCCCAAGTTTTTGCCGGTGCACCATGCCCGGCGACGGGCTGCAACGCGTCCATGTTGACCCAGCCCCTGACAGCGCAAGCTCGCGGTGTATCAACCGCCGAGTCATCGGCAAAGCCTGGCCTGCCTACCCAAGGCGTATGCTCGCCCCACTCCTGGCCCCAACGCAAGGCCTCGGTCTGATTGCCACCCGCGTGATGCCATTCACTTTCGCCTCCCGACCTGGCAACAAACCCCTGTCTCTCAACCGATCTGCCCCATGTCCGCTTTGAAGCAAGCTGGTTCGCCAGCACCACGTCACCCCATTCGCGCTTACAACCATTGACACCCGGCATGGCCTTCCAAGCTGTGCACAATGGCGCCAGCCTCGGCTGTGTCACTTGCATTCAGTTCAAGCTTGCCAGCAAACAGCTGCAGGCTCGTCATCCTGGCCTGCAACTGCTTTAGCAAGTTGCTGTCGACACCTGCGGCCTGTGCAGGCTGCAACATCAGCTCGGATGCTTTCGAGGTTTTCGAGGCCGTCAAAGATCCGAGCCATTAGCATTCAATCTTGTTTTTCGCTTGAAGCTAGACATGCTTCTGAATATGAAGCGAGCTGATTGCGCCAGCCTGGCGGACTTGCGTCTCTTTGATGACTCTGAAGGGCACGCCATCCTATACCAGCGCAGTATATCAGCTCTTTCGCTTGACAGGCACCCACTGGATCTTCATGAAGGAACTGACAACCTCAGCGAAACCAGTCCTTCAACAGCTCTGTGGGAAGAGCTGCCTGCCAACTGCTGGCATGTCGGGGCTGGCTGTAGCAAGGGTCCAAGGCAAGCCGCACCCCACCCAGGCAGAAACAGAAAGAGTTCTCGTAATGAGGTGAGAGAAGAGGCTCGCTCGTATGATTATCACATGCCGCATCCCCCTCTCCAGACCTGCACGGCTGTCACCCAGTTGCTACGGACTGCATCATGGCCGACGAAAGCAATGGATCAATCCAATACGAAAGAGCTGAACGAAATTTGTCTAGTTGCAGCTGTTCCCTTCTGACATATTTGTGAATTCAGGCCTGCTTCGGTAGGACGGAGACTTCTTCAGAGCCCTTCCAAGCATCCTGCTCCTCCCAGGCATGGTCTGGCACTGGCACGGCGGCTCCTTCAGCCGCTTCCCTGGTTTGGCAGCCCTTCCAAGCCTCCTGCTCCTCCCAGGCATGCTCTGGCACTGGCACGGCGGCTCCTTCAGCGGCTTCCCAGGTTTGCGAGATCTTCCAAGCCTCCTGCTCCTCCCAGGCATGCTCTGGCACTGGCACGGCGGCTCCTTCAGCGGCTTCCCAGGTTTGCGAGAACTTCCAAGCCTCCTGCTCCTCCCAGGCATGGTTTGCCACTGGCACGGCGGCTCCTTCAGCCGCTTCCCTGATTTGGGAGCCCTTCCAAGCCTCTTGCTCCTCCCAGGAATGGTCTGGAACTGGCACGGCGGCTCCTTCAGCGGCTTCCCAGGTTTGGGAGCCCTTCCAAGCCTCCTGCTCCTCCCAGGCATGGTCTGGCACTGGCACGGCGGCTCCTTCAGCGGCTTCCCTGGTTTGGGAGCCCTTCCAAGCCTCCTGCTCCTCCCAGGCATGGTATGGCACTTTCACGGCGGCTCCTTCAGCCGCTTCCCTGGTTTGGGAGCCCTTCCAAGCCTCCTGCTCCTGGTCTGGAACTGGCACGGCGGCTCCTTCAGCCGCTTCCCTGGTTTGGGAGCCCTTCCAAGCCTCCTGCTCCTGGTCTGGCACTGGCACGGCGGCTCCTTCAGCGGCTTCCCTGGTTTGGGAGCCCTTCCAAGCCTCCTGCTCCTCCCAGGCATGGTATGGCACTTTCACGGCGGCTCCTTCAGCCGCTTCCCTGGTTTGGGAGCCCTTCCAAGCCTCTTGCTCCTCCCAGGCATGGTCTGGAACTGGCACGGCGGCTCCTTCAGCGGCTTCCCAGGTTTGGGAGCCCTTCCAAGCCTCCTGCTCCTCCCAGGCATGGTCTGGAACTGGCACGGCGGCTCCTTCAGCCTTCCAAGCCTCCTGCTCCTCCCAGGCATGGTCTGGCACTGGCACGGCGGCTCCTTCAGCCGCTTCCCAGGTTTGGGAGCCCTTCCAAGCCTCCTGCTCCTCCCAGGCATGGTCTGGAACTGGCACGGCGGCTCCTTCAGCGGCTTCCCAGGTTTGGGAGCCCTTCCAAGCCTCCTGCTCCTCCCAGGCATGGTCCGGCACTGGCACGGCTCCTTCAGCCGCTTCCCAGGTTTGGGTGCCCTCTTTCCAGTTTTGGGAGGCTTCATCCCTCCATTCCTCCGTGCCCCAAGGCTGTGTCTGCCCATCTTTTTCTTTGTGCCAGGTCTCGTTCTGTGCCTGCCTCAACGCTCCTGATGCCTGCTTTGTGCTCCAGGATTCTTGAGGCCCTTTGGGTGAGGCCCAGTGCTGTGCCTGTTCGGGCACGCTCCTGTCCTGGGAAAGACACCGCCCGTGGCAAGTCAAGCAGGATGAGACAAGAGAGGGCAGCGCAGTTTTTGCCGCAGCTTTCTTGACATGTTGAATCTCGATTGCACGGCCTTGTTAGGCATTTGATAGACATGCGAGGGCGTGATGAAATCGCTCAATCATAACTTGGATCCAAGCTCTGAAACCTGAGGAACACAGCGAGTGCAAACCATAAATTTGAAGGCAACACACAACGTAGACTTTGACGCGAAAAAGCTGAACACAAGAATCGTTGAGCATCTTCGTCACACCTGCCCGTCTCTCCGCACAAAAATGCGCAAGGGAAACAGCCCTGGAGCAAGTTCTCTGCTCCATGCCCCCAAACGTTTTGCGGCCTTCTGGCTTCCGAGCAGAAGGAGCGCATGAACGGATTTTGGGACCTCTGGTCTCACTGGTTGCACCTTCTGCCGTACGAGAGTACTAGAGTCGAGTGTGCTTATAAGTATTGATGTGTCGGCACTTCCAAAAAAAACACATTATCGGTCGACACACGCTGCCAGGCCGAGGCATGCCAGCTGAAGGTTCACTGACATGGTGCCCTTCCTAGGATGCCTGGAGCTAGGAGTTTCAATCGAAAGCGCTCCAAGTAGTTGCAGATTGTTGCCACTGAAGCTGCCAAAGGGACCCAACCTTGGCCGAAACATGTCAAGCTAAGTGGCTCCGAATGCTAAATGAGAGAGTTTTGTTGGAAACTGTGCTTGCAGTTGTGGGATGAGAGAGAGGGTTGCACGACTCGAGAAACAGTTGAAACAAACAAAAACTCCTAGCCACTGCACAATCCGGCGGCATCACTGAAGCCCTGGCTACAGCAGGGATTTGAATTCACCTCGCATTGGCTCATGCAGGAATGGTGGGCGAGAATAGACTCGAACACAGGCAGCACAAAAGGGACTGTGAACACCAGGTTTCTCCCACTTGCTTCTGCACTGCCACCTTCCCCCACCATGCCATGCATGCCTGATACATTTTCGGGGCGTGCCTTTTTATTGACAAGCGCCCGCCAAGTCCATGTGCGCAAAGGGAGTCTTCCTATCAGCTTGCAACGTAGGCAACACACAGCCCCTGCACATGTTTTTTAAGTGCCGGCGCCCCGAGCGCGCCGGAACTGTTGTCAAAATTCAGCAACATCTCCGGCGTTCCCTAAAGCGCACTTGGCTCAAGTTTAATGGGTGGACAAGTAGTTGCCCCACGTTTGCCACGTTCAGCTCAAGAAGTCGGGGCTGTGCTCAAGGCAAGGACCTCGACGCTTCTTGCAATGGCCCGCCGCTGCGGCTGCGATGTCAATGAGAAACTACATGGGCAGGGCGCAAGGGCTATTGTGTGTGGAGAGCACAATGCCAAGTAGCTACAAGGCTTAAAAACGGGTGAGTACGTCTGGCGTTTTGTCCGGATGGCGTTTCGCCCCGTGCTGGGGCAAAAGCGCGGGGCACAACAAAAGGCCCCAGGCGCCATGAGTTTGGATGGCGCAAAGGAAGGAAAAAATGGACAGCCACAAAAGAGGCCCAAAAGACCCGTGACAGGGCAGGCCTGTGGCGGCAGCCTGGGTTCAACGACAAGTTCCGGCAAGGGAGCCGTGCCATGCTCCATTCATAGTGGAAGCATTCACGCAAACAAAATATTCATGATGACCACCAACGGAAGACGAGAGAAAGTCAACAGAGATGTCCACCACAGAGACAGCACTGGAGTGCCCAATCATTGGCGCAGTCTTCAAGCCAGACCATGGCCGCTTGGATAAATTGCCGTGTAACTATGCCCACGTTTCAGGCAGATTGCCGGTTTTGATCTGAAGGGGGGCATTGCAAGATACCTCATGAGGATGTTCAAGGTCATCTCACCCGTGCGGAAGGAATTGGAGCTCACCGTGTAATGTCTTCATTAGTCCAGGCAACAAAAAACAGCGACGCGACACCCGCGATCAGACAAATCGGCACGGGCAAGGAATTCCCAAGTGTCCCTGACAGAAGGCCACACAGATGGCAGCTGAGTGCCAACTTTTTTCCCATGTGGAGCACGTTGGGTGGAGAAAGTCACGCCACGTGCGCTTAGGCACGGCTATGCGTCATAGAAGCCATCGGCACTCCAGCTTGCACGTGGGGATTCTACTTGTTCACGCTTTGCAGCCCAGAGCCAATCACTCTGAGTTGCTGCAGGTTAAGCTTGTTGATTAATAAGCGTGGCACATGCGCGTAGGGGATTGCAACTGCAACATGTGTGTCATTGACAAGCGTTGCCACAGCATCGATCAGACGGTTCATTTTGTTGAAGAGACATGCGGCGAGTGCCCATTCCACAAATCCACCAGACAAAACTTCCCAACGACAGAAGCGAGGAGACTCGAATCCTCAGTCCTTCTTCCGCCAACAAGACAATCTAGATGCGTCATGTGTCATTGCAAGCGTCTAGGCGGCGTGGAATAGGATCGTTGAATCAAGAGTCAAACTTGCCCACGCGCTCAGAAACCGGCATGGGGGTTCGGAGCTCTCAGCCTTAATTGCAAGTGTGTAGGTTCTGGATGTCCATCACCCGCAATGTGATGGCTCAGTTTCTTAGGGGAGACGTCAGGGCAACCACATGACGGTCTCAAAAAAAAACTCCCCAAGGCAAGGACCAGCCTCCAGCCAACGATGCGGAATACGGGGGTGTGCTGATGAAACACTTACAAAGATGCCTTGAACAATGCTCTGCAAAACCCACAGTTGTTCAACATCTGAGGCCAAGGATGAGAGCAAAGTAAAGTAGCAACGCTGAGCTGGAACTACTTTCATTGACTGACCCGAAACAGGCTCCCGTGTCATTCGGCGTCAACCTACTTGTTGCGCACATGGCTTGCAGCTTTCATGCATGCATCCCACTTTGGAGGCAACGAATTGAAACCAGTCTTCGGGCAAGGTGCTCAGCCCAACAGCAAAGTACACAAAGCTCCAACCAAGCCAACAACAACAGTAGCTTCAGCTGCCTTTTCAGACGATTGCGCACACTCACGCACCACTCTCCTCTTGGACTCTGCTCATGAGTCTGCGTTGACAGTGGTCCAAAGACTGGCAAGCCTTTGTGGCTGCAACAACAGACCAAAACTTCCTTTGGCATAGAACATTCCAGCAGTCAGGGAGCGTTGGTTTCATTGGCTCATGACTGGCCAGAAAAAGCGCTGCTGAAACTTGTAACGATTGGAAACGCTCCCTGTCGAGACTTGTGTTCGACTTGGAATAATTATAACTAAAGCGCATTCGGCAGTGTCATTGGTCTGGCGGCGGTATTGTCAAGCCAGGCGTACGGGTCAATAGCTGCGCAGCATGGCATCCTGATGCAGCGACAACATCTACGAGGTCAAGACCGAGATGGAAACTTTTCAAACATCTGTGGGAGGCAAGAAACAGGTCCCGAGCTGCCGTGTTTCCCAGTGCAACACCTGCCGTTCCCCGCCTTGGATGCGATGCCCAAGACGGAGCGCCAGTTGGCCGGCACCGGGCCGCGGCGCTCACCTCAGCTTTTCGCGCCGGGAGCCCGAAGCAGAACCGGGAGCCCGAGGCAAAAACCGGGAACACTCCGAAAAAACTGCCGGGGAGGAATGGGGAAACCCAGGACCTCAGGAATAAACCCGGAAATGGTCCACCACCCAATCCTCACCAAGCTGATGCATGCAGCGACATGAGTAAGCGATTCACAAGAACACTGGGCGTTCCACTGGTGGTTCTTTCACACCCGCGCTGTAAATAAAGACAATCTTAAGACCCTGGGAAAAAAGGCTTACATTTCCAAGGTTGGCATGGATTTGATATCACTCCCGAACAGGTCCTATATGGAATTCATTTCAACAAAAACTACCCCCTCGCCAAAGCTATCTCTGGCTTGGCTCACAGCATGTGGCATGCGGCACATGAGCAGCCGGCCCGTGCTCATCTTCAAGCTTTGCCGGTTGTCAGCTCGCCCATCTGCCCGTGACACGTCCCATCCTCAGAGTTGCGTGCCGTTTGGATGGCCAGCCCTGCAAGTTCAGTCCCCAGACCTGTGGAGGGCACGTTCACATAGTCTGTCCTTGGCTCGTTTCAGCTGGCGTTGCCACGCGCATGCGCCAAGGCCACACCATGTTGCAGCTGAGGCTGGCACGTCGTGCGCCCAGGCATGCAGTCGTGTCGGATGAGCGTCTTGCCTGCGTCCGGCGATGACAAGCTTCTCAATTCCCCGCCCCCCTTCTGTCACGTCTCCCAGCTGCAGCTATGATGATATGGTGGGGTAAGACGCGGCAGCGTATGCCACAGGCAACAAAAAGCCGTGCACGGGCAACAAATGGCCGCAAATGGGCGCCGGTGATGCACAGAAACCACCCAGCGATTCTCCAGTTTGCTTTGCCAGACTTAGGCAACTTGCAAAAGTCAACTTGCCGCAGAAACACACATATCACATTCATTCACCGCTGGCACAGAATTTAACCCACCTCACTCCTCAATTGTCAAAGCACAAAAATACACCGGTATAGACCCCAAGTAGCAAAAATTGCATGTCCAAAAACAGTCAGGAGCTTCCACTAGCAAGGCTAATGTCATCCATGGTGATAATATACTTGAAGTGCTTACCCACAGTGCACCATACAAAAATAAATAATAATAATAATAATAATAATAATAATAATAATAATAATAATGATGAGCTAAATGTGACTTGTGACTCGGGGCCCATCTCCGACGACTCGGTACGTTCAGCTCACCAACGGCACCTCCCGCAACAGCAGCCCTACAGCACCCAAGTCGCTGCGTCCTGCGTCCTGCCCATCACCATACAAGTCCAACTTCTGTTGTCCACACCCGGAAGCCCTCTTGCTTCCAGCTATCCGGGGGAAATGCCTATTTATTTTTAAGGTAAAACGGAACATATTCTTTTCCACCTTTTTTGGGGGCGAGCCCACCAAACCACGGAGACACGTTTTCAGCCACCGCCGAGCTGCGCCCGCGGTGGCGGGAGCTCTT